GGACACTTAAAATCCAAATATACAAAGCCCAGTGTCTTTCCCCCATGACCCCCAGACAGATTCCGGTGTCTTCCACCTGCTCCATATCTGCTGCTGTGCTGGCAGGCTCGTTGGCTTAGGAATCAACTCATAGCGCAGAATCTATCCCATTTCAGTGGTCAATCTGCCCGTCTCACATGTCAATCTTCCCACCCCACTCACCATCACACAATTCGCAGTGACACACTAAATACTTCTGACCGAGACAATTACAGATCAGATCCTTCTTTTCTTACCGTACCTATTTGAGAACACATTTTTTAGCCACAAGCATTTTTCCACTCCCTGCACCTCAGATTGCGAATCAAGATCAGCTGAGCTGATGCAATAGACAAGCCCTGGCCTGGCTGATGGAACGAATCAGGGTAGGTACCATACCAAAAAGGTACGGTACGTGCTGTGATACAACTGCCCCTGGTAGGCGACGTTAAAGACCTTTAAAAAGGGTTTTAACCGTACATGAATTTTGAGTGCGCTGAGTGCATTGTGTTGTGCGTGTCATAGAAGCTTCAAGTGCCCTGTAACCCCGCTCACTAAGTGCTCCGGACCTGTGCACACACGAAGGTGAATGCGGTGGGAGAGGGAGGGCGAGGGAGGGCGAGGGAGGGAGAGGGGGGGAGAGGGGGGGAGAGGGGGGGAGAGGGGAGGAGAGGAAGGGAGAGTGTAGGAGAGGGAGGGAGAGGGGGATGAAAGAGGAGAAAGGAGGGAGAAACAGATAAGAAACACAGTGGATGACTGTGCCGACCTTTTCGTGCCTCTCTAGGGCGTGGGTGGGAGGTATGCAAAGCATGTGCGCGGATGGGAGGTATGCAAAGCACGTCAAATGATGCAAGGAAACAACTTTGATAGGTTGTGTACTGTAATGGATCCTTTGAGACCTGTTATTGGAGCATCCCTCCCTGGCATGCTCGCTCGCAACTACTCACCGATGATGGCCATGACTGTCTTTGAATCTGAAAAGAGGTATGGATTGAAATGCATGAGGGGCAGGCAGAGGGGCAAGGAGAGGAGCATGCGGTAGGGCAGGCGGAGGGGCAGGCAGAGGGGCAAGCAGAGGGGAAGAAATCATCCCAGAAAGAGGCACAGTAACACAGATGGATGTGAGAGTGGAAACAGGCGGCAAAATGTCACAATAGATGAGCGGCGCAGAAGTGGGCATGTGCGCGTGGAAAGAACACAGCAAGTGCTGCGGATGGGCGAAGCATTGAAGGAAGACAGGGCACGGCACAGTCACATGTGGCACAACAGGTCCATGGGCGAGCAAGTGAGTAAGTGCGTGGGTGGGCGATTGTGCGGTGAGTGAGTGAATGAGGCAGAGGGAAGGCCACATACTTGGCTCGATCTGTGTTCTGCCGGCGTCGATAGTGACGTGCGTTGGGAGACCAGACTTCTTCGCCTTGTCCTGCGCAGAGAGAGAGAGAGAGAGAGAGAGAGAGAGAGAGAGAGAGAGAGAGAGAGAGAGAGAGAGAGAGAGAGAGAGAGAGGGCATGGAGGCGATGGGATCGGATGGACGCACACGAAAGAAACGGGGCGATGGCCCACACCACACGGGGTGTGAATTCTGGAATGGCACATGAGCTGAGAAGGAATGTGACTCCAATGCAACAAAGAACGGACGGGAGGAAGGAAGGGAAGAAGGGAAGGGAGGGAGTGAGGACGGGAGGAAGGAAGCGAGGAAGGAAGGGAGGAAGGAAGGAAGGGCGAAAGGAAGGATCCCAGCAATCAAGTAAGCAAGGGAGTGAGGGAGTGAGGGGGGAGCGCAAGGCAAGGGCACCTGCAGAATGATAAGGAAGGAAGGAAGGAAGAAAGGAAGAGGAAGTAAGGAAGGAAGGAAGGAAGGAAGGAAGGAAGGAAGGAAGGAAGGAAGGAAGGAAGGAAGGAAGGAAGGAAGGAAGGAAGGAAGGAAGGAAGGAAGGAAGGAAGGAAGGAATCCAGCAAGAAAAAAGCATGGGAGTGGGGGAGTGAAGTGGGAAGGCAAGGCAAGCGCACCTGCAGAATGATGAGCTCCTCCTCTGAGTCCACCTTCACCACCACCTTCACCTGCCCGTTCTCGTCCCACCTGCCATGCCGCGCAAGCAGGGCACAGAGGGCATAGAGGGCAAAGAGGGCACACCGGCCCGGCCACACACGGCCGTGTGTGTGTGGACCGCAAAAAAGGAGATGGTGAGGGGAAGATGGTGGGAGGCATTGTGCAAGTGGGAGTGCACATGCATGAATGATATATTGGAGAATGGTGTGCAGGAACGCGCAGGGTGGGATGGGAGAAACGGAGGTGGAGCAGTGGCGAGGCGAGGCATGGAGGATGAGGCCGAGGTATCAGCAGAGTCTCTCTGCAGAGGCATGGAGGTGGCGGGCACACCTTTGCAAGGCTGTGGGCGCTCTCTTGGCGAGTCTCTTGTACAGGCCGAGCGTTGCGTGACTGGTGGAGGGGCGGTCAGGCAGAGTGGAATGGGGACGACGATGGGGAGGGAGAGGAGAGGGAGAGTGAACAGGAGAGGGAGAGGGAGAGGGAGAGGGAGAGGGAGAGGGAGAGGGAGAGGAAGAGGGAGAGGGAGAGGGGGAGGGGGAGGGAGAGGGAGAGGGAGAGCGAGAGGGAGAGCGAGGAGGGAATGCAGAATGGTGTGCTGCAGGGAAACGGGAAGTTGAGGACAATCGAGGATGTGGATCAGAGATAGGAGAGGCGAAAGAGTGAGGTGGTGCGTTGTGTGTGGTTGGGATAGGGAGGCAAATTAGATCGAGTCAGACAGGTGGAGTGACAGAAGAAGCGAGTAACGGATAGCGTGCAGTGAAGGATGGGTGGAAGGATAGATAGAAGGATGGATGAGTGTGGAAGTTGAGGGGTGCTCTCACCCGCACTGCGCGCCAATCTTGCCCTTGCCCATCTTCAAGTCGCTCCGCACCACCAGCACCTGCAATGCAATTCCAAGGAGCGCATTGCACACGGCCCCGTGGCGGCACGGGATTGAAGTGAATGGCATAGAGCGTGTTGTGCGGCGTGGTGTGGTATGGTGTGGGATGATGCGGCACGGCATGGTATGGTATGGCTTTCACGGCATGGCATGGCATGGTATGATATGGTATGGCTTTCACAGCATGGCATGGCATGGTATGGTATGTGTAAGGCATGTGAGGCGGTGATGCCATGGTGGTGCGAGGTCACAGCAGCAGCAGCAGCAGCAGCAGCGCGAGGCCATGATGAGCCGCCTGAGGATGTGGATAAACGCACAGTGATACAACGCCATGGACAGGCCACTAATGGAGACACACGCTCGGCTACTGGACAAGTCAACTTGTCGTTCCACTAGACGGGCCACTGGACGGGTTACTGGAGGTACCGGCATAGCTGGCTAAATTAGCTAACAAACGGATGGCAGCCAGCACTCTCCCCATGCACGGCACGCGCACGGCACATCCACGGCACACGCACGGCACACGCATGTTACGCGCAAGGCACACGCACCATCTTGAAGTCCTCGAACTCCCGCGCCATGCTATCCAGCTCCAAGAGCGCGCCGCCCTTCCCCCCCTTGCCCGAATTCCTCCCGCCAGCGCCCCCCGCGTTCTCCTCGTGCCACGCCTGTAGCTCTAGCAGCGCGCGCCGCCATCGAGAGGAGGATATTAAATGGCCGCAGAAACAGCCCACCGCGAAGACGCCGACTCCAGCCGCCGCGAGCAGCGGCCAATTAGACGACATGGTTAAAGCTGCGCGCCGATTACTTTTGTGATTTGCCAAAGCTTTTAGTCGTGATGAGGCTGGAATTGCTCAAGCTGCTAAATGGACAGTTCGTGATATAACAAGCTTTGGGGTGAATGAATTCTCAAATCTTCGCGCTGCCTTGATCGTGGCAGTTTGCCGTCCTTACGGCATCCGAATCGTGGGAGGATCGGAGATAGCGACTCGGGTGGCGAGGAGCGGAAAGGGTGTAGCGACTAGTTTGTTTCCAAGAAAGCGTGCGTTTCCTAGCAGTACTGCATTCACCAAACCCGAAACCCTTGGATCGAACATAAGGATTTGATGAGGTGCTTCATTTGGTACGTAGAGTTACGCGTATATACATTCCATTCTGTTCCACCGAGAACGTAAACCTGATATCGAAGAGCTACTGAAGGAAATCACTGCAGCCAGAAAGTGAGCTCCACGTGGATGAACGCGTGGACGCACACGAACCCCTGGCTCCAGGGATCTCTCATTGGACTGTCAGCTTCGTGTCAGCTCGGACCACCCCTCGCACACATTTTTCGCGATGGGCTATGACAGCTTCATCACCCTCTCATGCGCGCGTTCGGGACTGTCGCAATGGGATTGCGAAATTCGCCGGCCTCAACCCATTTCAGTACAACGAAAACATCGCTCTCATGTTGAGATGTGCGTATTGTCACAGAAACATATTTCGTCTACCAATCATGCTTCAATGATTCCCTTCAGCGGTTCGGGACCTCGACCCGCCCCACATCATGCCGAGCCTGCATCAGCACCACTTCCACTCTCACAACTCAGTCAGTCGTTTTGGTGCTGCTGCTATGGCAGTCAATGCAGCTGCTGCTGGTGCTTGTGCTGCAGCTGCTGCTTGCGTTGCTGCTGCAAACATCCCCACATCTCAACACAATACACGATCTCCGCTTCCATTAGCCGCCCCGTCGACTCCGGTGCCTGCGCCGTGCCGCCTGCATACGTCGCATTGGACTCTGCTCGCGCTTATTGCATGAAGCAAAATATATAATTTACGGTTCCATCGATCGTCGCTGTGAAGAAGAGACTGTAGTTCTCAATATTATCGAAATGAGATAAAACCATTTATTTCCCCCCGTCCACAATGCGCAGCCCGGCCGCGGCTGGGCTGTTCCCCCAGCCGTCCCCGAATCTTGCGCAAACAGTCGCAAATGCCAGCTCCGCCGCTTTGCAAAGCGCGGTTCTCGCCGTTAATTCCGCATTGCTCCCACTTCCCGCCACGCAATCATCCATGATTCCGCCAATAATATCCAGCGATGGGGAAGCAGCTGCGCTCGCGGGTCAATTCCACCCAGACAATACGGGCGCGGCTCTGGCTTCCGGTGCAGGGGTAGCCCTCGGCGGGGGAGGGGGAATGGGAGGAAAGGGGGGAATGGGGGGAATGGGGGGAATCGCGGAAATCGGGGGAATCGGGGGAGCGATGCGGGCGGCGGGCGGGGACGACGACATGGCGCGCGCGATGGAGAGCCTAATCCCCGCGCTGTGGCAGTCGTTCGCGGTGATCCTCATCGGATACGCGTGCGTGAAGCTTGAAGTGGTGAAGCCGCAGCACAAGCAGGTACGGCGCCTCCTCTTCTCTGCCCATCGCGCCTCCCCTTACCGCTCCGCCCATCCGCTCCACGCCCTAGTACCCCCACCCTTTTCCCCCTTCCTCGCCCCGGGCGCGCCTCCCCACCCCTCCTCCCGCTTTTCCCTTGATGATGGGCCACTCTGCAACTCCCACGATTCCCACCCCAAGAGCCCTCGGAACCTCGGCCATGGAGTCCGTTCCACGTGGTCTTGGTCCAACCAGATGGGCTGTGTTGTCGATGCTCTGTGAGATGTGAACTGCGTGAAGTCACATGCAGGTTCCTATACTTCCCTTCGCCCATGTCCGACCTCTATGCATAATGCATCCCTCTTTCTCCTGCTCATTCCTGCCCTCCACGCCCGCCCGCCTCCTGCCGCCGCTACCACGGGCAGGGCCTGTCGCTGTTTGTGACGAAGCTGGCGCTGCCGGCGCTGCTGTTCTCGGGCATGGCGTCGCTCGACTTCTCCAAGGTCAACTGGTCCTTCCTCCTCGCCGTCACCATCGGCAAAACCGCCGTCTTCTTCCTCGCCCTCGGTGCGTGCGTGCATGCGTGCGTGCGTGCAGCCGCGCGCCTGTATTGGTCACCCCTGGCTGTGGTGCAGAAAGAGGATTCATGCTGGCTTGAATCGAGGCTCCCGGGTTTTGGATTGTGAATCTTTTCCAGCCCTTCCGCCGGTGTATGCTGTGCTGTGTGCTGCAATGCTGTGCTGTTCTGAGCCGTGGGGTGCTGTGCTGTGCTGTGCTGTCCCGTGCTCTTCTGCCCTGTGCGGTGCTGTGCTTTCCTGCTGACTGATTGGCCCCCCTCCATCCTCGTCCCCTGCCACCACGCACTGACATTCCTGAAATGCTTACGGCGTGGCGTGGCGTGGCATGGCATGGCATGATGGGGCAGGCATAACGATGCTGCTGGACATTGGCAAGCCGCAGGTGGTGGGCACGGGAGCAGTGAACGGCATCTTCGTCTCCCAGTCCAACGACTTCGCTCTCGGCCTTCCCATCTTCCAAGTAAACCCCAACCCCCCTCCCCTTCGCTTCCCTCCCCTTCTGGCAAACCAGCGCACGCTGCACGCAGCTACAAACCGCAATGTAGGGGTTTTTTTAATTCCTCCTCCTCCCCCGTAGCCCCCGTCATGCTGTCTCTCCCTGCCTGATGTCGCCACGCCACTTTGTGGCACCTTGCAGCCTACAAACTGCAGTATTAGCTCTTCTCTCATCCTCCCTCTAATGTTCCCCTCTTGCCTCCCCGTCTCCCTACCGCTTCGCCTCTTTTTCCCTCCTCCTCTGCTCACCACCCCCCCTCCTGTCCCCACCATCCTCCATCTCCACCTTCCCCATGGTGCAAGCAGCCCATATTCGGCGCCCTGCACCCCGAGTACATCGGATACCTGTACCTCGTGGCGCCCACTCTTGAGAATTCTCAGTGTCTCCCCACCATCCATCCCACCTCTCCACCCATTCCCATGGTGTGAGCAGCCCATATTCGGCGCCCTGCACCCCGAGTACATCGGATACCTGTACCTCGTGGCGCCCATCTCGCTCATCTTCCTCAACCCCCTCGGATTCCTTCTCATGGAGTCGGACCGAAAGGGCGGCCCAGACGGGGAGGAGGGGGAGGAAGAGGAGGACGAGGATGGGGAGGAGAGGGTTGGGGGGCGTGGAGCGCGGGATGGGAGGGAGGGGGAGGGGGATCCCTGGGAGTGCTGTGACTTGGTGCCTGAAGGGGAAGAGGCTGCGCTGATGGCTCTTGAGAAAGAGGAGGAGCAGAGGGATGGGGTGGCGGGGCGAGAGAGGGGAGGAAAAGGGGCTATGCGTGAGAAAGGGAAGGAGGAGGGGAGAGAGAGGAGGCGAAAGGAAGCTGACCACGAGAAGGGAGAGGATGATGGGGGAGGGGAGAGTGTAGAAGTGGAAGAAAGGCCAAGGTTGCTTCCCATTAGTTCTGGTTCGGATCCTGGTTCGGGTTCGGGCTCAGGTTCTGGTTCGGGTTTGGGATTGGGTTCTGGTAGTGCAGGTGAGGCTGCTTCAGCAGAGCGACCTTCCATGGCCAGTCATGCGGGTTCACCATCCCCCGCTGCTCACCAGCTTCCTTTGAAAGACAACTCCACTACAGCCACCACTGCTGCCACTGTGTCTGCGGCCGCTGATGCAACCCCCGTCGCCGCCGCAGCTGCCGCTGCTACTTCTGCTTCTTCTGCAGCTGCTGATGGGGCGAATGGCATTGGTGCAATCCCTAGCAGCAGCAGCAGCAGCATGGGCCGCAAGAGCAATCCGTCTCACCACGTGCGCTCCCTCAGTGGCTCAGGCACCCGCAGCAGCAGCGCCGCTCTCCCTCCCCCTTCGCCCTTCACTGCTGCTTCCCCCCCCAAATCCCTCCGCTCCTCCCTCCTATCCCCCTCCCTCCTCACCCTTCCTCCACCTCCTCAAGCGTCTTCACTCTCCCATCCACCATCCACCACCCTCTCCCTCGCCCCTTCCCCGTCCACATCCCACGCCCCTGTATACGGCTCACTTGCCCTTGCCCCATCGCCACTCTCCCGCGTGCTGCCTTCGCCCCTTGGCCCCCCGTCTCCTGTTGCCGCTGCTGCTGGCGCTGGGGTGAGCGGTGGTGCAGGGATGACTGGTGGTGGCGCTGGCGTGAGCGGTGGTGGGGATGGGGGAGGAGGAGGGGCAGTGGATTTGCCACAAGGGTGGACGAGGAGGGCGTATACAGGGAAGCTTGCGGCTGGCGGCGGGGGTGGGAAGTCGGTGGGGGCGCGGAGTGGGAAGTGGAAGGGGAGGGGTGGGCGGAGCCACATGCGCATGTGGATAGTGCTATACGGAGTGTTTGCTTCACCCGTGGTCTTCATGGTGCGTGACGTGATCTATGGGGGATGGTAGTTTAGTTGTGAGACGTCTCAAAACGTGGTCTTCATGGTGTGTGTTCTTTGGGGGAGCACTCGTCGTGCGTGGGTGTGTTTTTTAGTCAGACTCTAAAACGGGTGCTGCAGGGGGTGTTTGCATCGCCCGTGGTCTTCATGGTGAGACGGCTCTGGGGGGACGCTCGTGCTTGGGTGTGCATGTGGGTGTGCATGTGGGTGTGCATGTGGGTGTGCATGTGGGTGTGCATGTGGGTGTGCATGTGGGTGTGCATGTGGGTGTGTGTGAGTGTGTGTGAGTGTGTGTGTGGGTGTGTGTGTGGGTGTGCATGTGGGTGTGTGTGTGGGTGTGCATGTGGGTGTGTGTGTGGGTGTGCATGTGGGTGTGTGTGTGGGTGTGCATGTGGGTGTGTGTGTGAGTGCGTGTGTGAGTGCGTGTGTGGGTGTGGGTGAGGGTGGGTGGGTGAGGGTGTGCGTGTAACTGGTCTTGCATCTTTTAAGAGTCTGTTTCACCCTGACTCACCAGTCTCTCCTCTTATTCTTGCTTCCTCTCTGCCCTCCTCGTTGCCTCCCTCCTCTCCTGCCATTCACCCTTTCCCTCAACTCCCTCCTTTCCTCGACTCCCTCCCTCCCTCCTCCTTCGTCTCCCTCCTCTCACTTATCAGACATATCTCAAGCCTCGTTTCACTCTCTGTTTACACAATTCTCCTTGCTTCAATCTTCTTGCCTCTCCCCTCCTTCCACATCCACATCCTTACTCCCTATCCCACCTTCACCCCCTCGGTCCTCAATCCCCCAAGCAGCTGCCTCCCTTTCTGCCTGTCCTAACCTCTCTCTGCTGGTCCCGTGCCTATTTCTCTGTCCCCCACCCGCCCCCCATCGTCCCCCCATCTGCCCCACATCTATTAAACCCCATCCGCCCGCAGGTACCTCTGGGTCTGGCCGCTAATTATCTGTTCAATCATGACATCCCCCCGTTGCTCTCAGGCCCTTTCGAGGTATGCCTCTTCACACACATGTGCTCCACACACGTTTGGGTCCGTTCTATGATTCACGCGTTGCCTTGCCACACGTGGTTTGCTGCCCAGCCCATGAACAATCTCACGCATGCACATCATTACGATCCAGCCCAACCCAACCAACACATAGACAAACACATGCACGCACACAACTGTTCACGAACACTCGTGCACACACAGACACACAAGCACGCGCGCATGCATATACTCGCAGACACACACACACACGCGCGCGCGCGCACACACACACACACTCACTCACAAGCACCTCAACCGAAGTGCATCCCCACTCCCCTTGCACCCCTCCACCTGCAGTCGTTCGGAGCAGCCTTCTCTCTCCTCTCACTCTTCATCCTCAGCATGTCCATGGCGGACAAGACAGAGCAGGCGTCAGACCAGCCCACCTGCCAGGGCGTTTTTGAGACTTCCAAAATACCGCGCACATTTTCTCCTTCCCATTTCCGATCCCACCTCCACCTGCAGTCATTCGGAGCGGCTTTCTCTCCCCTCTCGCTCTTCATCCTCGGTATGTCAATGGCGGACGAGACAGAGAAGGCATCAGACGAGCAGACTCGCCTGGGCCCGCTCCTCCTCTCGCTCGCCCTCGTGGCCGGCAAATGCCTCGTGCTGCCGCTGCTCATCCTGCTGCTCCTCGCCTCCTTCCAGGGTACCAACTATAGGAGGGGAAAAAAATGTTTCTGGATTTTTGTCGGGCTGTTAGAGTCACAGAGCTTTCTTGCGGCATGCGGGTTCAACATTGCAACCCTCAGTTGCTCTGGTTTTTCCATGCTCCCTCGTAATTTCTGTCAGCACAGCTTAATCCTCTCCTCTGCACTTCCCCTGCAACTCGCACCTTCCAACTACTGCCTTCCTCCTTCCTGCCCCGTTCCTCGGCTTCCCCATGGCCTTTCCTCCCCTTTCTCCTCCTCTCCTCATCTCCTCCTCTCCTCCTCTCCTCCTCTCCTCATCTCCTCCTCTCCTCCTCTCCTCCTCTCCTCCTCTCCTCCTCTCCTCCTCTCCTCCTCTCCTCCTCCTCCTATGCTATGCCAACGCCTTGTGCCCCCCTTCTTTACCCCACTGGCAGCGGACGACACATCGCTGTCCCTGGCAGGGCTCATATACGGCAGCCTGCCCGTAACCCCAGCCACATTCTTCTTTGCCTGTGAATACGGTCAGTCACACTCCCGCCTCATCTCAACTCACCTCACCTCACCTCACCTCACCTCACCTCACCTCACCTCACCTCGCCTCGCCTCGCCTCGCCTCGCCTCGCCTCGCCTCGCCTCGCCTCGCCTCGCCTCGCCTCGCCTCGCCTCGCCTCGCCTCGCCTTGCCTCACCCTTTTCCCCTCCTTTTTTGCCCCATAGGCTTGTGTTAGTCATACCCATAGGCTTGTGTTAGTCATACCCATAGGCTTGTGTTAGTCGTACCCATAGGCTTGTGTTAGTCGTACCCATAGGCTTGTGTTAGTCGTACCCATAGGCTTGTGTTAGTCGTACCCATAGGCTTGTGTTAGTCGTACCCATAGGCTTGTGTTAGTCGTACCCATAGGCTTGTGTTAGTCGTACCCATAGGCTTGTGTTAGTCGTACCCATAGGCTTGTGTTAGTCGTACCCATAGGCTTGTGTTAGTCGTACCCATAGGCTTGTGTTAGTCGTACCCATAGGCTTGTGTTAGTCGTACCCATAGGCTTGTGTTAGTCGTACCCATAGGCTTGTGTTAGTCGTACCCATAGGCTTGTGTTAGTCGTACCCATAGGCTTGTGTTAGTCGTACCCATAGGCTTGTGTTAGTCGTACCCATAGGCTTGTGTTAGTCGTACCCATAGGCTTGTGTTAGTCGTACCCATAGGCTTGTGTTAGTCGTACCCATAGGCTTGTGTTAGTCGTACCCATAGGCTTGTGTTAGTTGTACCCATAGGCTTGGGGTCATACCTAGGCATGCATTGGCGCTGGGCGCGTTTCCCCTGGCCTTCCTTAACCTCTCTCCCTTCCCTGTCCCCGCCCGCCCCTTACTCCTTCACCTCCCCCCCCCCTGTGCCTCTCACAGGACAATTCTGTGTCAGTCGGTCGCACACATCCATAGAGACGGTTTTTGAGGCGCCTACCCCTTCCTCACCGCCCCCCCTCTTCCTCCCTTACCCCTCCACCCCCCTATTGTTCCCCGCAGGGCTGTGCCAGTCGTACATAGGCATGGCGACGGTGCTGGGCACGTTTCTGTTTGGTCCGCTCGTGTACGTGCTCACGCAGCTCGCATTCCTCGTCATGAACCACTATGAGCAGCTCTTAGAACAGGTGACTCACTCACTCACCCTCATCACTCTCATCCCTTTCGTCCCTTTCATCACTCGCACCGCTTTCATCACTCTCACAGCTTTCATAATTTCCGATCATCTCATTGGATTCCTCCAATATTTCCTCCTCAGGAACCCAGCTCCACCAACCAGCATCTCTGCCCTGCACATACCGGCACATAGCTCATAGCCATCACACCATTCATGACTTGATTCATGTTCATCGCCGTGATCACATGTACAACGCACTGCTCACCACTCGTCTCCCCGCATGGCACCTCCCCCAGGTGGAGTCATCATCGCGCAGCATGGCGTTAGTAGGCGGCATCTGCGCCCTCTGGACCCTCCTCGCCCTCCTCCGCCTCCTCCTCTCCTGCCGCCCCGCCCCTCCCGCCTTCCCCCATGCCACCACCACCGCCGCCGCACAGACAGCAGCAGATAGTGGCGCGCTTGCTGCTGCGGCAGGCACGGCGATAGAAGGGAGTGCAACAGAGGGTACTGGAGCTGCTGCAGCAGCAGCAGGCGTGGCGGAGGGAGGGAGGGCAGGGAGCGAGCAGGACCCGTATGAGCTGCACCGTGTGGTGGGGCAGATGCTCGTGTGCTGCATTGCACTGTGCTGGGTGAGTGGGGGTCCGGGCCGGGGGCTGCATCAGAACACGATGTACTTATTTATGAGCGGATGGGTCCGGGGACTGGATGGTGGAACCGAGGGTGGAAAGGATCAGAGGGAGACTGGTTGGAAAAGCGTGTGTGGGAACGAGAGGGGGGCGGGAAGAAGTCAGTGTAGCAGGCAAGGGGAGGCCGAGCCATCATCGCATACTCCAAGTGTGTTTTGAGTCGACTCAAAACACAGCAGGCAAGGGGAGGCCGAGCCATCATCGCATACTCCAAACACACCTCACACCATGCCCCTTTCTCTTCCCTCACTTCCTCCCTCCCTCTCACTCCCACTCTATTCCCCTCCTCCGCTTATACTCACCCCTTCTTTGAATCTCCCCTCCGCTCCCCACCTCTCCCCACCACTCCACACCACTCCCCATCCCCTTTCCAGACCTCAGCCAGCGTCGCATCTCTCCTCTGCCGCGCACCTCTCCCACCGCTCCCCTCCCTCCTGCGCTACCTCTTTCACACCACGGGCCACCTCGCCTCAGCCGTTTTCACCGCGCTCCTCGCCCTCTCAGAGCTGCTGTGCTCCGCGCTCGGCCCCTCTCTCGTGCACCGCCTGCGCTTCTACCTCGTCTTCTCTGGCTGGATGCTTGCCGCGCTGCCTGTTGTGCTGCCGCTCGTGTTGTCACCGGGATGGCCTGACATCCCGGCGCTCTGCCCCACGGACCTGTGAGTGTGAGAGACCTGCTTTTGAGAAATCTCTTAAGTGACTCCCATCGGGTTGGCCTGATGTCCCTGCGCTCTGCCCCACGGACCTGTGAGAGAAAGCTGTCTGGGGAGCGCAAAGAAATGTGGTTTTGTGGGTTATGTGTGTGTGTGTGTGTGTGTGTGTGTGTGTGTGTGTGTGTGTGCGCGCGCGCGCGCGTGCGTGTGTGTGTGTGTATGTGTGCACGCGCATGTGCGTGCGTGTGTGTCTATGTTTGTGTGTGTTCTGTTTGATGTTATGTTCGTTACGTTTTGTACTTTACAGTTCGCAGTGTGGCTGAAGCTTAGGCTCAAGGGGTAGATGAACTCATCGAATTCATTTCTCGAACAGACCTTTCATTGATGTATATAAGGGGGTACAGACGGATGCAAGGCAAGTGTGAGCTAAGCCCATTAAACATGGCACTGAGCATTATATTCTATGCCCTTTCTAGTCCTCCAGGGTTGCAAAGCAAATCGTTTCTCTCTCTCTCTCTCCCTTCCCTTCCCATCCCCTTGCTATCCCCAATGGTTCACACCGCTGTCACCCACACGGCATGACATGGCATGGCATGTGAGTGCAGGATAAGCTGCTGGTACCCCTTTGGCTCGCTGCAGTTCCTTGCTGCCCTCATCATCTACTCCATCGCAGGTACGCGTGCCCTTAATTGCCTAAAATGCTGGAATGCCTGCAATTGATGGGACGACTTTTGAGGTGCCTCAAAAGGATCGCTGCAGTTCCTTGCGGCACTCAATCATCTACTCCATCGCAGGTACGTGTGCGCGCCTTGTTGGTTGCTTACCGTGCTGGAATGCTAGCAATTGTTGGTAGCACTGCAACAATAACAAGTGATAACAAGCTATAGCAAAGAAATATTAAGGGACAAACTGTGGTGCGGCCCGGTTTTAGCACCTTAAGGCCGAATCATCCTCTCTTTCTTCCTCCCACCATCCTCTCGTCCCTCATCCTCTCCTCCCTCTCCATCCCCACGTTCGTCCTCCCCACCCCATCCTCTCCTCCTTCTTCTTCCCCACCCCCCCCACACACACACCCACCCACCAGTAATGATAATCATAACAAGCCTGTCACTGCTCATATGGGAGCAGTATGCAGGACTGCGGGCCTCAGGCCTGCCCATCAACTGGTCCGACCTCCCACTCTCCTGGCAGCCTCCTCCCAACAAGCACCTCGCCGCCGCTCCCCCTCTGCTTCCTCCCCCATGGCATCTCCCACCCCCCACTTCTCCTACTCCGCTCACTGCCTTTCCCTCCTCGTCCTCCTCAGCTGCCCCTCTTCTCTCGCCTACCGCTGCTGCTGCTGCTGCTACTCTTGCTCCTGCTACCACAGCTCTGGCTTCCCCCTCTCAAGTGCGCCGTCGCTTTGCTCCTGCAGCCTCCCTCGCCTCGTCACCCCCGGTTACGATTGCCACTGCCCTGCTCTCCCCCACGCGCCAACTGGGAGCATCGTTCACGCGCACGGGTGGTGCTAGCGCCTCTCCAATCGCTGGTTCTCCCCTTCAGAACTGGCACCAGCAGCAGCACCAGCAGCAACAACAGCAGCAGCACCAGTCCAGCTACAATCCGCCTCCTTTGATTTCAGAGTCTGCTTCACCCAGCTCACCAAAACAAGCTCTCAGCCCACGGCTGTTTTACCAACAACATCAGCAGCAGCAGCAGCAGATGGTATCAGTACCCTTCCAACCCCCGCCTCCTTCAGACCAAGAAGACCTGGCTCGCCTGTTCGCAGCAGCAGCAGGCTTTGGAACCTTTTCCAGCAAGAGCATCAACACAGCAGCAGCGGCAGCAGCAGTGGCGGCCGCTGCTGGTTCAGTGGGCAGGGAGCCGCCCTCCTTTGGTGCCGCATCCGCAACAGCAGCTGCTGCAGTGGCAGCAGCAGCAGTAGCTGCCGGAGCAACGGGACCACCTCCTGGCGCTGGCGCTGCTGTTGGTGTTCCTCCTGGGCTGCTCTCATCGAGTGTGCTTGCAGGCATCGGCAGCAGCAGCAGCGCCGGCGGCGGTGGCGGCAGCAGCAGCAGCAGGCCCGGCAGCAGAATGGCCAGCCGTCACAACTCGTTCTCCCTTGCCGCCGCCGCCGCCGCTGCTGCTGCCGCGGCTGGGGGAAATTCAGCAGGGCCACACCAACAAGCACCTGGCTCTTCTGCTGCTGCTGCTGCTGCCGCTGCTGCTGCTGGTGCTAGTGCTGCTGGTGCCGGCACTGCTGCTGGAAGCTTTGGTGTCCCTCTGTCGCTGCCACTCAGTCGGCAGAACTCCCTTGGAAGGAGGGAGAGGGAGTGGGAGAGGATTGAGACGCGCAGCATGGGCAGTGGGATGAGTGTGGCAGGGCACGCAGACGGGGAGATGATCCCAACCTTACTCATGTCTCCTTCCAGGTACGCTCCATGTAACAGCTTCCTTTGACCGTCTCTGCCTCTACATTGCTGCCCCTGCTTTCTCCCACCATGAGCTTTCTCCCGTGCCTGCATCGCGTGCAACAACCAGCACCCATTGCTCACAGCAACCCCCTATCTCTCCCATGCGTCCCCACCCACCATGGCAGGGTGGTGGCGACGAGGTGGAGGCAGAAGACGGACCTGGACTCTCAGAACGCGCTGCTGCTCTTCTGCTGCTACGCCGTCTTCTCCATGCTTGTCTCCTGCACCATCTCCATCTTCGCCCTCCTCAACGTACTCACTCACTCCCGAGTCAACTCAGAAACAGATCCGCCTCGTGTTGATGCTTTCTAGTCACCTTGACTCCTGCAACGTTTCCCATGTGGTTCCTACTCAGCGTATCCACCTTCCTTCCTTCCCTACCGCCTTTTCTCAACCTCCCTCTCCCCCCTTCCTTTTTGGCGCTCCGTCCCAACCTCCGTACCATCCCCCTTTCCACACCTCTTTCCGCGTACATGCATTTTTGGAACAAACCTGCTGTCATTAATCCCGAATACGTCCTTCTCAATTCCACAACCTTTCTCATCACTTCCTTCCCACCTTCCTCCATCCCAACCCACCACCCTTTCGACCCCTGATGCCACCCTTTCCACTCCCCATTCCACCCTTTCCACCCCTCGTTCCACCCTTTCCGCCCCTCAGGGGGGGTGTCTGGAGGGGCACTTGGCGCTGCTGCTGCTGCTGATGCACGTGCTGCTGTCCTACAGCCAGGGCGCCGTGCTCTTCCTCGCTTTCGGCATGCACGCCGGGCTCGTGCTGCCTCTCGTCGCTGCCCGCGAGTGGTGGCGCAAGCAGCGCCTCTCCTTCCTTGGCGAGGTCTGTCGTGCGCTCTTCACGTCGCCGCTCGGCTCTCGCTTCTGCTATCGCTTTCGCGCTCTCTCTTCTACTCTCTATTCTGCTCTTGCCTTTCCCCTCTCTTCCCATCTCTCTGTTCAAATCTCATCCCCCTCACGACCCTCCTTCCCACACCCATCAGGTGTCTCCATTCTTTGTGGACGAGTGGCAGTACCTCGCTCCAGACGATGACTACCCCATGCCGGGTGCTACCCATTCAAACAGCATGATGCTCGCACGAGGCTGGTCCATGAACCCAGCGCAGCTGCAGCTCTTCCCCCGGGACTGGGACCTCTACTCTCGGGGATGGGAGGATGCAATGAGTGTGAGGGAAGACGGCATGAGTGTGCGTGATTACTACCCTTCGTATCCAATCGATGAAGGGGACGAGGATACTGTGGTGAGTGCGGATGACGGAGGGGATTATCAGACGGACCGGGATGATGCTGAGACTGTGGTGGAGGTCACAGAAGACTCAGTTTTCTGATACAGGACGAGGAGTTATGTCTGGTTCAAGTTGCTCGTGAAGTCCCTTGGGGAATGCAATCAATGGAATGGAGTGTGCAATTATTTATGAAGAACTACATGGGATGAAAGTGTCATTAACGACTGAATTTATGGATTGAAAGGTCTACAGATGAAATCCCAGACTCCTTACAAGGACATTACATTTTTTTTGCGGTTTTACTTGGTATCAACATAAATTGTTCAAGAAATCACACTGTGGCAACAACCAGTATTGGGAAGTGTGGATCTTTTAGAGAAGCGGGAAGGAAAGACCCGACTGGCTGATGTGTCACGTGCAGGGCCTCAGATTCACTTTTAGGGTCGTCAGGCCATCAGGGTCCCCCTGCGTGGGAACTCTGATTGTCAGTGTCCCAAAAAAAAAAAAGCTGAAAGTTCAGTGTTGCAAATTTTCAAAGCCTGATGCATCAGTGTACCATTTGCAAAAACACTGACTGTATTTCAGACTCCTACATTTAAAATAAATAGTCACAAGAAGAGTTGCTGCAGTTATAATCTAAGAATCTCTAATAGGGGTCATGCATGCATCATCATCGGAATCAGAGCCATCATCATCATCACCCCCCTGAGCCTTTGGCTCTGCTTCCCACTCCTGTACTGCCTCTGCCTCCTTTCCCCTGCCACTACCCTGCCCCTCTCTTGCTGGAGCTGCTGCCACATTGCCAAAGGGCCGGCGCTTCTTGTAGCTGCGCCAGACCTGCACGATTTCGTTGTAGTCGGGCACGTACTCGAGGAGCGACATCGTGACGAGATCTTCAAGGCGGGCGTCTTTGAGGCTCCCACGCTGCCACGACTTGATGATGTTTTGGCGGGAAAACCCGCGCTCACATTCCACTGTGCTCAGCGGCAGTACGGCGACAGCGACCCAGAGACGCACAAGGTTGGGGTAGCTGGTCGTCCAGTCGCTTGTCTTCAGCATCGCAGTGAGGCCGGCATGGAAGCTTCTCTCGGTCTTCGGGGCACCTGCGAGGATGGGGCAAAAGGCTCGCAGCTCTTTGATCGCCCGGCGCTTGTCGATCCCTGCCAGACAAAGCAGATAAGTGATCGTTAGGATGACTGACCAACAGGGCAGAGGCAGACACCAACACAGAACTTTACGTTCAAAATGTTACGCTGAGTACAGCACTGGTGCACAATCAATAAACACGTACCAGGAAGGATGTAGTCTGTCTCCACTGCCCTGAACAGCCTGACGAGTGACATGAGCCACTCGAGACACTGCTTGTGGCGCTCTCCTCTCTCTGGTGGGTACTCATCGGGCATGAACAGCCGGACTCCCACAAGGGAGTCCAAATCTGCAAACCTCTTGGTGAGGTTGCGCACGAGCGCCTCTGCAAACTTGGTGCAGAGATCCACGCAGTTGTAGTGATTTCCCAGCGTTGGGTAGTCCTCGCTCGGGTTCTCGTGCAGTTTGAACGTGTGTTTAGTGGGCCGACCGTCTGAGTCCACTCCTTGCACCGTCACCTCGGGGTTGTCACTGTCCGGCCCGTACTTCATGATGAACGGGGACAGGCGCGCGCTCAACCCGCCCCCAAAATCATCGCCGCAGTCGACGTAGCGGGTCTCTAGGAAGGAGATGGTTCTCCTGATCTGCGCGTGCACACCTGCAATGTCAAGCTATGTTTGGGCGAAAGAAATAACATTGCGGGAAACACGGCAGTCGAGATTGGGGGTGCTTTCTCACACAAATAATGTTTTGTTTGACTGTCAACAATATAACTGCAATGACAAACACACACAGAAGCCACAAATACAATAACAAGACATCAAGACAAGTTAAGCACACACGGAAACGCCAAGTCGCTCACCTCTCGCTGCTGGAAAGACTTGTTCAGGATGTTTAGCTGCTCGAGCACGTCGGCCAGGAAGTACAAGAGGAAGTGAAACCTGTAGCTCGTGGCGAGCTCGTACAGCGTCTCGTCCCACTCGTACAGCATGACGATGATCGCGGGGAAGACGGCCACCAGACGCAAAACAGCGTCACCCCTGGAGAGCCAACGGACCGTGTGAATCCCCTGAAGCTCCAGGTTCGTGGACGTGAAGAGTTCTTGAAGCTCCATAAAGCGTTGATGCCAGGGGCCGGAACGGCCGAGATGCTCTGCGAGTTGACGGATCAGGCTGTCAACCATGTCGAACTCGGGAAGGGCCCGGGCTGCATGTTTTGCTGCGAGCGCCTCCCTGCAGGCACAAGAAAACCCAAGCGAGCAACACAGGATATTAGCATAGGATGATACAGTCACGTCAAGCAGTTTACGCATGGTGCAACAAAAAACGTACCTGTGGGCAACACAGTGGCTTGAGACGAGATGTGGAACGCGGAGGCGAAGCCGTACGACGAGGCCGTTCTTGCGTCCCATCATCACCTTCGCCCCATCGGTGCTTATACCAGCGATCCGGGCAAGGTCGATGCCGAGAGCCTGCAAGTGAGACAGAAACACTGAGAGGAGAGATGCAGCGTCGCACTTCTCCACAGTCAGCAGGGCCAGAAACTCAGTGACCGGTCGATTCTCACGGATGAAAGTAACGAAAAGGATCATGTGTTTTCCTCGACACCTGTCTGTGCTCTCGTCACAAGTGAGTCCGATGTACGGGCTTGCTTGGATGTGCTCGAGCTGCGTGGTGTGTAACCATGTCGCGATTGACTGTGTGAGCTGGCCAAAGCCGTACCTGTGGCGCATGTGAATCACGGTTAGAGCGTGCCCAAAAGTTAAACACACACAACACGAAGAACATGAAAACCCGGCGTTTACTCACGTGGTGTAGTAGGTGCCGTATCCTTTCGCGGGAAATCCCGGCACCTTCTGCTCCGCGAGGTAGCGAACGAGGTTCACCCATAGTTCTATGGGTGCATCCTGCTTGGTCACGAAGAGGAGGGAGTCACACAGCTTGATGACCCGCTCCTTCTCGGTGTCACGAGCGAGGTTGTCACCGTTGATACGCGGCTGCCGGCCAGCTTCAGCAAGAAGCTTCGCCTGGTTCTTGACCGCCTCCTTGTGCTTGGTTGTTTGCGCGTGCCGCTTGAACGCCTGAGTCTGTACGTCTGAGGCGCCCTTCCCGCCTTTCCCGCACTTTCCAGCATAACCTGCATGCTCGGTACAGATAGAGCATTTGAAAGCAGGGAGACCGTCAGATTGCCGCAGTAGAATTAGCCACTCAAACCTCTCCAGCCACTCAGCCTTGTACTTATACAGAGCCTCGGCGTAGAGCGCGTCGCGTCCAGACTGCTTCGAAGGACCTGGAACAGATGGCGACTCCTGCGTTTTTGTTATCACGGGCGACGACCGTTGGTCGGTTGGCGCAGGCACAGTAGCCCCGTCGACTGCGGCCTTAGGAATGAATGGCAGCGTTGACTGCGTGTATCGGCCGGTTTTCTTGGCCTCTGGTTCAGGAGTGGTATTGTCAGCTGGAGGCGGTGAACTGTCTTGCTCGATGTCTGGCGCTGACGGGGACGCACAGAGCGGCTCCAGATCTATGTGCTCGAACGGTATCTTGTCTGGCGGCTCTAGTTCAGGTTGCCTCTCATTGACGTTGACCTGCGCTAAGCCTGAAAACAACAGGTCGATGCCGGTCACAGCTTCTGTACGGTCTACATGCGGCTGGCGATGCGCAGCACCGGCGTGGTCGCCGTTTCTTTCCGTGCCATCAAGCTGCTCCGCCATGGTAAGCAGCGCGTACGGCCTCGCATCTAACCTAGAGACAACTGCGAAGGCAAGGGATTGCAAGCGCAAAACTCAGGCCTCGGCTGGCTGCCTCCTGGTACACTAGGGTGAACGAGGGAAACCCTGGTTCTGATGCAAAGGTTGGACAAGAAGGGTGGCGGAAACGGTGGGTGGGCTGGGCGGCGTGGAGGCATCATCATCTCACCCCGACTTCAAGAAGGATGGCACGGTGCTTGCCAGCACAGCCCAACCCTAACGCACCGCACATGATGGGTACGGGGCAGGAACCTTGGCAGCCCGCCAGCACCACATGTCTGCCAAGTTAGGACTGGCCAACACTGGATGCTGCAGCGAAACTGCCCAATGGTGTGAGAGGCGACGCGCCAAAAAAACACCAGCCAAAGTGAACCTGAGGCAACATTGGTCCTGCCCCGGGGTGCCCACGTACAGGGAATGTGAGATTCCCTGTAATTGCGGGCGAGGTAACATGGCACAGGTGAGATTCGCTTTCAGTGTCGGTTTCGTTACAACGTAGTGGCATCAGTGTTCCACGGGAAAAAAACCTGGAAAATCAGTGTGGCCAAAAAAAAAAACCTGAAAGATCAGTCCAACAAAAATCCCAACTCTGAAAGTTCAGGGTAGCTTAAAAATCGGCTGCCAAAATCAGGAATTTCAGGGTTTTTTTCCTGATATCTGAGGCCCTGGTCACGTGGCTTGCAAACGATTTGCGAACTCTTCTACTGGCTACTGCTTCTTGTTATGCTCTTGCTCATGCCTAGCGAAGGTACACTAAATTGTTTCGTGAATTCGACAGAGCACCTACTGTACCTGCCTTTGTGATGTCACAACAAGCCTTCGGCACGGTTCGCTCGTGGCTTGCATCAAGCAGGTTGGTTACCTCAGATCTCCTCCGTTTCGCGCCTTCACACAGCATATCCCAAAGCTGCCCGCGTGGGTCAATTTTGCACTAGATATCCGGGACGAGCCGCCGATGTCCCTTTTTCTACTGGTCTAATCGTCACCGAACAGTCCAACCGAACCAATTTCTTTGTTCGTCCAAACCACGCCACCAAACGTCATTAGGTACTTTCTGACCAGTGACACGCCAGATCTCCTCTGACTCCTCCTGACAAACCACTTCTCTTGGGACCACGATCTCACACTTCCTCGCCCAACCTCTCGTGTTCCGCCCTCTTCCTTTCCCGCCCATTCTTGACTGACGGCATGGTGCCCGCTTCGGCGGTGATCAATTGACAGATGGTTGGCTTGGATCCCCCAAAGAGGTTCCTCCGCACCATCCATCGTGACTGCCTGAGTGTTTTGTTTCGTTGGGTTGGAGGGAGCCGAAAGCAACCACTGAGAGGTCCGCCAAATCCGTTTTGTATGATAGCTAGGCGTGGTAGCAGGCAGGTTGTGCCCCTAAAACACATTCACCGTTCCGCTCCCGACGGGATCGCGGGTCCAGACATGCCCTCCTGTGTCTTTTCGCCTCTCCTCTCTCGTGTGCTTTTTTCACTTCTGCTCCTGTAGGTGAGTTGAGATCCTTGCGCAGCCGCAGAACTAGCTACGCCGTAGTAGCTACGTGCTGTGGTACACCTCCCGTAGGCACACCAGCCCTGGGTGAGAAATCGACAGATCGACAGAGATTACGGGCAGCGAAAGGCGAAGCCGAAAAGGAGCAGAAGGAGAAGGAGAGGGAGAAGGAGGAGGAGTCGAATGGCCGAGACAAGACGGCCATCCCCCCATGGGGGACTTTTACGGCTGCTGCTCGTGCTGTGCGCCACAGTCGCCGCCAACGTCCTTCTCTCAAACGCAGCCACCCAAGAGGAAGGTAAGCGTGCGTGCACAGACTGCGAGGACGTTACGTTTAGGCGTTTCGAGCGCTTCGGAACTGCTGCCAGCATCCGCATGACCACGCAGCGACGACGAACTAGGAAGGTAAGCCCTCAAAGAAGCAGCCAGGGAAACAGCATTTTACAAAAGCGATCAAGTGTGTTAAACATACGAGTAAGAGGATAAAACGTCGCGTGAACATCTTAGGGTTCCAGAATACGTCGAGATAACACTGTCATATGCGAGAGTCGCTTGCCCCGACTCCCTGGGGCGGCAGGTTAGTCATCCCAGTCGGGGCCTTGTTATCCAGTCAACGCGAGGCGACACGCCACGTGCGGGCCTTTGAGAGGACAGTGCGCGACCGGGTTCGAAGGAGGGTTGCGCGTGAAGCCACTAGCAAAGAGCCCCCACGAACTCCTTAGCTCTACGTTTTCACGACAGCCTTTCTGTCGAGTCGCGCGCAAGCTCGGATGCGCTGCTGCATTCCGCACCGCGTGGTATTCCTAAGCAGCTACATTCTCTTGTTCGCAAAGAAAACGTCCTCTCGGCTCGTGTATCGTCAAACCCCTAGCTATCCATGGCCGTCCGTAGATCGACTATCGAGTCGACTCATAACTGTCACAGGCCGCAGCAGGGCACAGCTACCCCAAGTGTGACATAACTGCCAGTGCTTGCTAGGGACTGGCCAGGCGCGGTTAGCCATAGCGCGGCTAGCCATGGCGCGGCTCGCATCGCTTAAGTGCGAATGTGGCAGAATAGCTGTGCGCGGGAGCCGTGCTGTGCGCGCGAGCCGACACACGGCTCCCGGGGGGAATGGGAACCGCATAACGCGTGTTTCAAGTCGCAGTTTTCCCCATCCACGGTAGCGAGTTCCTGACGTCCCTCGTTCCTCTCCTCACCCATCTCCGCCAGTCTCCCCTTCCCCGCGTGCGGGTTCCTACCTCGTTCTTATCCCTGTTGTTTGGCCTTTTCTCTCTCCGCGTGTGCTGTGTGCTGCTCCGCGTGCGTGCGCTTTGCTCTCCTCCCCCTCTCCCCCGCTCGGCGCGCAGTGGCGGCGCTGAACAAGATGAAGGATACCCTGGGCCCCGCGAACCTGTTCGTGGGGTGGGTGGGCGATCCGTGCACCGGCATGTGGCTCGGCGTGATCTGCGACGCGCCGCAAAACGTCATCGGCATGTAAGTAGCGACACGTAAACATCCTAACGTACGCAGCGACACGTGGTCTTCGGGTTAGTTGATGCCCGCACAATGCGGCGTATCCTGTAGCCCGTTACGCCTGTCTCCCCCCTCCATCTCCTCTCTCTCCACCTCTCACTTCCCCTTCTCCTCCTTCTCCGCTTCTCTCCAGCTTTCTCCCTATCTCTCCCTCTCACTCCTTCACTCTCCCTCTCTCTCCCTCTCACTCCTTCACTCTCCCTCTCTCTCCCTCTCACTCCTAAACTCTCCCTCTCTCTCCCTCTCTCCCCCTCCCTCTCCCGCTCTCATCAGCAACTTCGAATCGCTCAACGTGGACGGCACGCTCGCCGATGACGTCAGCCGCCTCACGTCGCTTCAGATCCTGTACGTTCCTTTTCCACCCCTCACTGATCTGACGGTATCCTGGGCTAGGTTGGCGAGAAACTGTACTGCCCCGTTCCCTCCCGGCTTTTGACCCCCCCCTCTACCCCCCCCTTCCTCCAGCTCGTGATCCTCTCTACCCATGTGTTTCGTTACTCGCTTCTCTCCTTCCCCGCACCCTCTCGCGCCCACCTCTCTCCTTCTCTCTCTTCTCTACCCGCTCCGTCCCCTTGCGCCAGTCTCTGTTTCCCCCCTCCTTGCGATTGCGACTCCTCATTCCGTGTCTAGCAGTTTGCCAGCCTGCTTGTGCTTGTTTCTGTGCGCGCGTGTCCCTTTTCACGTCCCCGTGCGTGTCTCTCCGACTGACTCTCTGCTTGTCCCTCCGCTTGTCCCTCCGTTTGTCCCTCCGCGCGCGCCTCCTCCGCGTGTGCGCGTGCGCGCGCGCAGCAACTTGGCGAGCAACCAGTTCACGGGGAAGCTGCCCAAGGCCATCAGCACACTCACCAACCTCCAGCACCTGTACGCGCGCTTCCTCCCCGCGCCAACTGCGCGGAGAGGGGGGAAAAGGGGCGAGAGAGCGGGGAAGAGGGGGGTGGGTTTGGGAGAGGGTGAAAAATGGGTTGTACGGGATATCGGAGGGGGAAAAGCGAGAAACGGAGTGGTCGGGTCCGGTTTTTTATGACTCGATGTTGCCTGCAGTGACGAGATGGAGAAGATGAGACGTGCATGGAGGCTGGGTGTGTGAAGCTGGCTCTCACACGTTCCCCACCGTGCTGTTGCTCCGTCGCTTCCTACGGCCGCCTCGCTTTCTCTCTCTCTCTCGCTCTCTCTCCTCGCTATCTATCTACCATCTACACTTTTGCACGCCAGCGCCTTAACACATCACCCGGCCTCTTGTTTCCGCCACCCGTACACTTGTCCGTGTGCGTGTGCGTGTGTGTGTGCGCGTGGCATGGAGCAGCGATGTGAGCAACAATAAGTTCGAGGGGAAGCTTCCTGACGCCTTCAGCCAGCTCACCGCCCTGCGGCACCTGTCAGTCCCGCCAGCAGCCTCTTACACCACCCTCTTCTCTCCCTCTCCCCTCTTTCTTCTTCTCTTATCTCCCTCCCTCCCATCCCTCGCTCCTCTTACTCTCTCTCCGCGATCTCTGCTATCTTGCGACCTACATTGCCTGTCCGCTTTCTCCTTCCACACTCACTCTCTCTCATCCAAACCCCGTCCTTTTCCACGCCTTCTCTCCGTACCCTTTTCCCGCATACAACCCCCGTTTCCCTCCTTCGCCCCCCGCATCTTCCGCGTGTCTGTGTGCTGCGGCGTGCAGCGACGCGAGCCAGAACTCGTTCGTGAGCGAGCTCCCCGCGTCTCTCAGCGCGCTCTCAAGCGTCACGTACATGTGAGTCACGTAGATGAAACGCGGTGCGGTACGTGAGAGGTAGAGAGATGAAACGCGGTGCGGTACGTGACGTACGTGTGAGAACGATGAAACTTGGTGCGGTACATAGGAGAGAGAGATGAAACGCGGTGCAAGCACACGTCAGCGCCACGACACGTGGTACAGCCCACGGAGTAACAAAGAATAACAACCTTGTTTCCACGTCCTCTCTCCCCCCTGCGTCCTCCCCTTTCCTTCCCGCTTTTCCCCTCGTCCCTCCCCCTTCCCGCTCCCCTCCACCCGTCCCGCTCCCGTTCCCCCATGCTCACCCTTGCCCCCCCGCGCGAGCAGCAACCTGGCGAAGAACAAGATCACGGGGTCGCTGCCCGACACCCTCACGGGTCTCAGCGAGCTCACCTACCTGTACGCCCCCCACTCGCGCCAATGCCCCCCACGCCCCTCCCCTCGCGCCAATGCCCCCCATGCCCGTCTTATGCCCCTTTTGCCCTCCATGCCCCCCTCGACCCCCTTCCCCTTGCTGTCCCTCATGAACCCCGCTCCCATGAAAAGCCATACTTTTCTGTCGAGAATCCCTCACGCACCTTCCTCCCTATTCCACTCCACCTCACCCTTTCCCCCCTCTCTCCGCTTCTCGCCTCTGCTTCACCATCTAATTCTATCGCCTTTCCCCCCTTGTTCCCACGTCCCTTCTCCGTTCTCTTCCCCATCCCCACTTCCCCGCTCCCATCCCCATCTCTTTCCCCTCTCCGAATCCCCTTTTTCGCCCTTCCCCAACCCCGTCCCCGTCTCCCGTCCCCCGTCCCCATGCGCGCAGGTCAGTTGCGGACAACAGCATGTCGGGCAAGCTACCAGCATCCCTGGGATCGCTCGCCAAGCTCTCAAGCTCATTCTTCCCCATCCCCATCCCCATCCCCTTCCCTTCTGTTCCCATCCCCCGTCCCCATGCGCGCAGGTCAGTGGCGGACAACAGCATGTCGGGCAAGCTACCAGCGTCGCTGGGAACGCTGGCGAAGCTCTCGAAGCTCGACCTCTCCAACAACGCATTCACGGGGGCCATCCCCTCCACCTACTCCGCTATCCCCGACCTCATGTACCCGCCCCCCCCCTTCGGTCCCTTCCTGTGCTCGCGCTCGCTCACACATTCGCGCTCAGGCTCACACTGGCATTCACACTCACGCGGGCGGTTGCTTTCTTGCTGTTGCCGTCGTTGTCTCTTGGGCTGTCAGGCCATAGCATGCCATCTGGTTCCCTCCTTGTCCCTAGCCTCACCTCTCCTCCTTCTCCTCCTCCTCCTTGCTTTCCACCTCCCTCTCTCCCTCCTCAATCAAACCATTCCCCGCATTCCCTTCCCCCCACACCCCGCACTCTCCTCCCCAACCGCCTCCCCCTTTCCCCAGCACCACGGGCACGAGCCTTGACGGCGCAGCAGCGGGCGCGCCAGCATCAGCTGGCGCACCAACAGGGGTAGTCGACGCCCCGCCTGCGCCCGCCCCTGCCCCCATTGCCAGCGCACCTGCACCCGCCTCCGCATCCCTCCCCGCGCCTCCCCCTGCGCCCCCGTCCCTCCCCGCGCCTCCCCCTGCGCCCCCGTCCCTCCCCGCGCCTCCCCCCGCCCCCGCGTCCGTCCCCGCCCCCGCACCAGCGCCCGCGTCCTTACCCGTGGATGCGCCCGCCCCCGCATCCCTTCTTGCGCCCGCCTCATCACCCGCCCCTTCGCCGTTGCTCGGATCCGTCCCCGCGCCCTCCCCCCTCATGGGCTCCCCCGTCCCCGCGCCTTCCCCCTCCCCCTCCGCCGCCCCCCCCTCCACGAGCGCACCCACACCCACACCCGCCCTACTCCCCCCTGCTGTCCGCCCGCCAAAGCACAAATCCCCCCCTCCGCCCAAGGCCTCCCCCCCGCCCCCGTCCCCCCCGCCTCCGTCCCCTTCCCCGCCTCCCCCCGAGGTCTCCCCACCCCCGCCTCCGCCTCCGCCTCCGTCCGCGCCGGTTGCGTGTGGGGGATGCGCGGAGGGGCAGGTGGGGTGGGCGGAGGGTTCAGAGGGCTCGGGGCAGTGCGCGTGTGTGTATCCGCTGCTGTTCACGCTGCGCCTGGGCATGGAGTACAGCCAGTTCACCCCCGAGAAGCAGCTCGTGAGTGCCCTCGCCCTTGCCGTTGCCCTCGCCCTTGCTCCTCGTGTCCGTGTTTTGAGACGTCTCAAAACTGGCCTGGGCATGGAGTACAGCCAGTTCACCCCCGAGAAGCAGCTCGTGAGTCCCCCTGTTCTTGCCTATGGCCCTGCCCGTGGCTGTGCCCGTGGCCGTGTCCGGCGGTGTGTGTTGTTGTGTGTGCGTGCCGGTGGTGGGTGTGCGGTGTTTGTCTGTGCGCGTACGCGTGACCTCGTTTCATCTTGCTCCTTGTCTCCCGACAATGAACCTCGCGCTCACGCTCTTTCGTCCCACACCCCCCATCTCCCAACCGCCCCATACTCCCCCGATTCCCCTCTCTCCCCCCCTCTCCCCTTTCAGTCCCTGGAGCAGCAATTAGAAGCAGGCTTCTCGGTGCAGCCAGGACAGGTGCGCACGCAGTCAACGCACGCTGGCAGCGTGGTGGCAGACATGGCGGTGGGCCCCGTGTCCCCCGCCACCATGCTGGACCAGCCCACAGTGGACCGCGTCACGGGGATTCTCTACGGCTTTTGAGTCGACTCAAGAGCTACCCCCCCACCTCTCAATCGCCCCCACCTTCCCCCCACTCCCGCTACTCCTCCTTCTCCCCCCACTCCCCTCCCTCCGCCAGTCCCTGGAGCAGCAGCTAGAGACAGGCTTCTCGGTGCAGCCAGGGCAGGTGCGCACGCAGACAACGCGTGCCGGCAGTGTCGTAGCAGACATGGCGGTGGGCCCCGTGTCCCCCGCCACCATGCTTGACCAGCCCACCGTGGACCGCGTCACGGGGATTCTCTACGGTACCAACGGCAGCATCAGCTTGAGCGGCTTCGGGAGTGTCACGGTGGTGCAGCTCGTGCCGCCCAACCAGATTGCGCGTCCAGAGGGTACTGGTGAGTTGAGTTTTCCCTGGCCCTGGTTATGTTTTTTATGGGGGGCGAAGAGGGGTTTCGTGTGTGTGTGTGTGTGTGTGTGTGTGCGTGTGCGTGTGTGTGTGTGTGTGTGTGTGCGTGTGCGTGTGTCTGTGTGTGCATGTGTGCGTGTGCGCACGTGTGTGTGCGTGAGTGTGTATGTGTCTTTGTCCGTGTGTGCATGTGTTTGTGTCCCCTCCCCTCTTTCCGCCTCTCTCCTTGTCTCTCCACTCTTCCCTCTCACCCTCGCCCTTCTCATTCCCCCATCCCCCATCCATGCCCCCCAGCTCCCCCGCAATCCCCGCCACCAGCAGCGCCAGCTCCGTCCTCGTCCTCAGGGGGCTGGTCCATGGCGGCCATAATTGGTGTGGCCGTGGCGGGCTTTGTCGTGGCCGTGCTGCTCGTGGTGGTCCCCTCCCCTCTTCCTGCGCCTCTCTCCTTGTCATTTCACTTCCCCCTCTCACCGTCCCTTTTCTTCTCCCCCATTCCCCCATTTCCCCGTCCCCCCATCTTCTGCTCCCCCGCCCCCAGCCCCCCCGCAATCCCCGCCACCAGCAGCGCCAGCTCCGTCCTCATCCTCAGGCGGGTGGTCCATGGCGGCCATAATCGGCGTGGCCGTGGCGGGCTTTGTCGTGGCCGTGCTGCTCGTGGTGGCGCTCGTGGTGCTGTGCATGCGCTGCCGGCCCAGCCGCAAGGACGCCTTCCAAGATGACCTTGCTGACGACGCTGCCCGCCCCGCCTTCCAATGTGAGTGGCACCCAGCCGCCTCGTGATGATCTGCTTGGGTGGGAGGACGGGAGCAATGTGAGTGAGTGCGCCGAGCCAACCACTCGGTGGGAAAGAGGTCCGGGAATGAGCGAGCGGAGAGGGGGGGTTGTGGCTGCGAATGAGGAAGGACTGGGCCAGCCGGGTGTGTGTTAGGACGTGTTCCAAGTCGACACCAATGTCAGGGAGGGAGATCTGCAGCGATGGAGAGGATGGAGTGGAACGGAGGTCTCGTGAGGATCTGCAGCAGTTGAGAGGGAGATAGGGGGGAGGAAGGACAGTGCGAGAAAAACGAGGAGGATGGGGTGGAAGGAGTTTTCCTAGACTGTGTCACTGAATGTGATTCTCCTCTTCCCCACTCCCCTCCCCTCCCGTTTCCCCTTCTCCCCCCGCCAGCATGGGCGAACGGGTCATCAGCCAAGGCGAACGGCGGCGCCTCCTCGCGCAAGTCCCAGGGCGTGCCGCCCGTGAGCCTAGCTGAGCTCCAGATGGCCACGGACGACTTTGCCCCGGACCGCAGGCTCGGCACCGACCCTCTCGGCACAACCTTCGTGGGCACCATGCCGGACGGGACAGAAGTCGCCGTGAAGAAGATTGAGCCGTCTGTAGTGGAAGGGCAATCAGACGAGGACTTTGTGGCAGTGGCGGCGAATATGGCGCGGTTGAGGCACGCGCACGTGGTGCAGCTGCAGGGGTACTGCGTGGACTATGGGGAGCGGATCCTGGTGTTCCAGCACTGTGCCGGCGGGAGTCTGTACGATCATCTGCATAGGAATGACGATGACAGCTCGCAGCTGCTGTCGTGGGACGACCGGGTGGATATTGCGCTGGATGCTGCTGAGGCGCTCGTGTGAGTGTGCTGGGTGGTGAAAAGCGGGCAGGGGAATAGGGTCGGGGATGGGTGGGGATGGGTGGGGATGGGTGGGGATGGGTGGGGAGGGGTGGGGAGGAGCGAGGAGGGGTGTGTATGTGTGTGTGTGTGGTGGGGCAGGCGGCTTAGTGCGTGAAGAGGCAGGAGTTTGTATGCTGGTGAATACAACCTGCACAAGCCGCCCATGGTGCAGCTCTCTCCCACTCGTCGCTCCATGTACTAACCCTCCCCCTTCCGCACATGTTGATACCCGGCAGGTACCTGCATGAGGAGTGCATGCCGCCCATGGTGCACCGCAGCATCTCGTCGCGGAACGTGCTGCTCGACTCGTCGCTGCGTGCACGCGTCGCTGGAGCAGGCCTCTCCTTCCTCAACCCTGTTGGCACCGACGAGAAGGTACACTTCGCCCCGCCCCGCCCTGCCCCGCCTCATGCTCGGTTGTCCTAAATACCTTTCCAGCCGCTGTAGCTAATGCATGGTTCATCCCTCCGTCACTCCCCCCCGCCCTCACGTTTGTCTGGCAAGATCCTTGGCAACACTCAGCACTTTCTCTCAAACTGTCGATTCCCTCTCTTCCCCCCTTCCCGCCCTTGCCCTGCTCACTCTCTCCCTCTCTCCCACTCTTGCTCTCTGGATATCTTCACGTGCCTTGCACAGTCACTGTCAGACCAGCTGGTGGGGGTCTTTGCATACAAGGCGCCAGAGTATGCCATGTCGGGCATCTACACAGAAACACAGCCAAGAACAACGTTGTTTGGCTGCAACCGAGCCTTCTCCTAACCACTGTACCTCCCCTGTCGCTCCTTCCCTCAGTCGCTCTCGGATCAGCTGGTGGGTGGCTTTGCATACAACGCGCCAGAGTATGCCATGTCGGGCATCTACACCGCCAAGAGCGACGTCTACAGCTTCGGTGTTGTGCTGCTCGAGCTGCTCACAGGCCGCAAGCCCGTCGACTCGTACGTGCCACCCTCTGAAAGTGTTTGCGGTAGTTGCGTGGTGTGGAATAGCTTTGGTGGGCATGGTGGCGTGTGGGGTCAAGGCTTTGGTTTTGCACCTGTGTGGGGAAACGGTTTTTTTGGCCGGGTACCAACATGCGACAGAACCGCCACTCACTCCCCAAGGTGAAGGGTTTTTTTTTGCCCCTCCCTCTCGCCCTCGCTCGCCCTCCTTGGTTCTCCCCAGGTCGAAGCCCAAGGCGGAGTCATCGCTGGTGCGGTGGGCGGCGCCGCTGCTGCACGATGTGACAGAACTGGAGGCCATGCTGGACCAGCACATCTCAGGCCCGCTGCCGGACGTCTCCAAGCTCACCAAGTTTGCAGAAGTCATCACCCGCTGCATCCAGGTCCGTCCAGACCTGACCTCACTCCTCTGCATCGGAGTGAGCACACGCAGTGGACTGCTACTCTCTGCTTGTTTCAGTTGTACGTTTTTATGAAGTTTTCTTCTGGCCCCTCGAGCCTCATCCCTGCAACCCTCTCCTCCCTCTCCCACATCTGTCCTTCCTGCTCCCTGTATTCTTTTGTACTTGGTCATCAGCCTGAGCCAGAGTTCCGGCCCCTCATGTCAAAGGTGGTGAACGACTTAAACAAGATCCGGGGGGAACGTAGAGATGATTCCTCTGGTGTATACTGAAAGTATCTGGCCTGAAAGTGGCTGGCTGGACTAAAAACGAAGAGCAAGTCTGCGTGGCATTTCCTTACAGCCTGCATGGACGAGATCCTATGGGTTTCTCGTCAACTCTTACTAGATTAACAAGTTAGTACAGGAACATGTTGGAATGGAAGTGATTTGTGTCTTAAGAGAAAGGGTTACCAAATAGTGGTGCCAGTACTTGGAACTCTGTGGACCGGTAGTTTCCTAGGTGCGCTGTTGTATGGGGTATTGAGATAACTAGCTAGCAAGTGTGTTTTTGCAGCACATGAGTGAAGAAAATATTAGACGTTAAAGATGGGAAGTACTAAGGGCATGTATTTGTGGAGACATTCTGTCGATAGGAATCTTGGCATACTATAGTGCAGGCTTGCTCCTGACACACGAAATCCTCACTTGAAAGCAACTCAGGGCCAATCAGCCTCACGGGCGCGAAAGCTCATTTGGCACTGCATTCCACCGACTTGATTGGCGGACAACGAGTGGCGGGCGACAGGCTCCACGACCTTCTGACCCATTTGCGATGGTTGACGAAAGTCACGGCGATAGCACCAGCTTGTTTTGTTTGAGACCACGCGAAATGCTGATAGGTTCGCTGGTTCGCCCGAGTCGCTTGCACAATTGCAGACGGAGTGCCCTATTTCGCTGACGACAGCTTTCTTGAGAATGTCCCGTTGCTGATCAGCTCAACCGTTGATCAACCCCCTGCCATTCATCTGCGCGCCTCCTCGCCTCACCACCGCAACCAGCTAGCACCACCCCAACCCACCCTCGAAAAGGCCAAGAGAAAAAGGACGAGGTAACTGCTACATAATTGGCTCCTCCCACCACAGTTCATTCAGGGCGCACTGTTATCTTCTCGTCCGTTCCGTAATTCCTCTTCCTCAACCCTTCCTTTCCAAGTCCTATGGCGGCAGGCAAGAAAACCTCGAGCACGTCATCTAAGAAAACAGCGTCTTCCAATCCAAAACCTGTTCCATGGCGACAAGTTTTCGCGACGATTCTGATAGTTGCGCTCTTCTACGCGCCGTTAGTTGCAATCAGTCGCCAGATCATCTTCGGGAGGCGAGTTCTCCCTCGGCCGGCGGCCACTACGCCGGTCGACCAGTTTAGTGAAGAGAGGGCGATGGCCCACGTCACGAAGCTGGCGGGTGATATCGGCGACCGACAGGTGAGAGGCAGCGAGACTTGATCGTCGTGGATGGCAAGTTATTAGTGGGCGACAGCACGTTGTGGCACGCTTTCGCGACGGGCAAATTCAGTGTTACGAGGGACACCCAATAAACGATTTCAAGCTTCGAGGGAGTTTTCGAAAATAAAGCGTCTATTGATTCTGAGAGTTAACGACTTTGTTTGTGAAATTGCGAAGGATACGTCTCTGTAGCTTCATGGAACGGAACTGAAGCTCGCCTTCTGACCGACCTGTGACTGAATCTCATAAAACCCATCCGACATTCTATCAGCGCCTGCAGGATGGGGGAAATTAATATTTAGCAGCGAAACACCGCTGCGATTTACCCAATCAAACGACCGTGTTCCAGCTGGGAGGAGAAGAGAAGGGGTGGGGGGAGGGGGGGGGGGGGGGGGGTCCGTTTTTCGGATTCTACAGCTCTGACATGTGGGTGGACGTTTTATGATTGGCTGCAGGAGGGCACGCAAGGGTTGACAGAAGGTGCGAGGTACATCTTAGACGAGGTTGAGCGCCTGCGTTCCATAGCCAGTCCCCGCCTCCGGTGAGCGAGCCGTTCAACGCTTGTCGCCTGCCCGCATGGGTTGCCTGATCTTGCCTGATTTACCGCTATCATCTCCGTCCTCCGTCTTACCAGACCCCTTCACTGCTTCTGGTCTGCTCCTTGTCTTCTCCGTGCCTGGTTCATCATGCTTCTCCGTATCTGTTTCTTTCCTCCCGTCCCTCTCTACCGCCCTCCCATACCACCACCTGATCTGTGCCTCTGTGCCGCTGTCCTGTCCTCTGTGCGCTCCGTCGCGTCCCAGAGTGGAGATGGAGGAGAGCAGTGTGAGCGGGTCGTTCAGCATGGTGTTCCTGCAGCGCAGCCTCTCCCTCGCCTACCAGAACCTCACAAACGTTGTCGTCAGGTGCGCTCACTCACACCCTCTTCTACCACTCCTGCTCTTCAAAACTCCCATCCCATCCATCCGTCTGTCCGTCCATCCGTCCATTTGTCTGATTATCCATTCATCCATCCATCCAGTCATCATTCCCTGAGTCAAACCATCCAATCAAGCGCCCTTCCCGCATGACTCCATCCAACGGTCCTTGCGTCTCTCTACCCATATCCATCTCACCTCTCACCTTTCATGCACCCACCCCCCGACTACTTGTCATCACTTATCAGAATCTCCAATGCTGCCACGGATCCAGAGGCAGTCCCTTCGGTGCTTATGAATGGCCACTTTGACTCTGCGCTCGGCTCCCCAGGAGCGGGTGACTGCGCCACATGTGTTGGTACGCTCTTGCCCTTCGCCTCCTTGCCCTTCTTTCCCTGCTTCCCCTCATATCTTACTCACTCACGCCCTTACAGCTGCTGCTTCTGTGTCGCTTTGCCCAACGCATTGGGCCATCACAGGCACGCATATTCTTTTGATCGATTATTACTTGCACCTATGGCTTATGCCCTTCACCACTTCCCTCTGTTCCCTGACCCCACGTGTCCCTGTGCTGCCCATTCCCTGTACCCCCCCCCCCTGCCTGCGTAACTTCATGGCGCACCAGCGGCCATGCTGGAGGTGCTGCGGCTGTATGTGGAGGCAGACCGCATGCCCACCGTGCCCCTCATCTTCCTCTTCAACGGCGGGGAAGAGGTCTTCATGAAGGTGCGCTGCTGCCTTCTCGGCCCTGTGCTGCCCCTCCCCTGTACTGTACTGTACTGTACTGTACTGTACCCCTCTGCCACACAGCTGCATGGACGGGCACCAGCGGGCATGCTGGATGTGCTGCGGCTGTATGTGGAGGCCGACCGCATGCCCAGCCCACTCCCACTTGTACGTATTCTTCGTGTTTCCCATCTCCTACCCTCAACTTCTCTTCTGCCCGGTCGCATGAGTAGGTGTCACTTGCTCCATGTTTCCATTCTTGCACATTGCGCACACCTCCCCAACCACTCGCACACACGCTCACACACGCATAGGTACCCAGGTTTGGATCCACAAAAGCACGCTCACCCACGCAGTATCACATTCGCACGCGCTCACTCCATCCCCATGCGTCCCATGCGGCCCCATGCGCCCCCATGCGCCCTCATGCGCCCCCATGCGCCCCCATGCGCCCCCATGCGCCCCCATGCGCCCCCATGCGCCCCCATGCGCCCCCATGCGCCCCCATGCGCCCCCATGCGTCCCCATGCGCCCCTCCAGGCGTCGCACGGGTTCATCACGAGGCACCACTGGAGTGAGACGGTGGGCGCCGTGGTAAACTTTGAAGCCGCGGGAACTGCCTTGCCAGGTGCTGCTGCCACAGGCCGATGCTATGTGTGTGTCTGTGTGTGTGCGCGCGCTTGCGCGTGCGCGTGCGTGTATGTACATATGTGCGCTTTCTCGTTTGTCCTGTTTTACCTTTCATGTGTGCATCGCATCACATCACATCGCATCACATCACATCACATCGCATCACATCACATCACATCGCATCACATCACATCACATCGCATCACATCACATCACATCGCATCACATCACATCACATCGCATCACATCACATCGCATCACATCACATCACATCACATCACATCACATCACATCACATCACATCACATCACATCACATCACATCACATCACATCACATCACATCACATCACATCACATCACATCACATCACATCACATCACATCACATCACATCACATCACATCACATCACATCGCATCACATCGCATCACATCGCATCACATCACATCACATCACATCACATCACATTGCATCGCATTGCATTGCATCACATCACATCGACAACATGCGACTCACGTTCACCTCATGGGACCGCCTTCAACCATGTGCCCTTCCATTCATAAGAGTCCCCTCCATGTCTGCCTCCCCTCCATCCCTCCATCCCTGCCTCCCCTCCATCCCTGCATCCCCGCGTCCCTGCATCCCTGCGTCCCTCCCTCCGGCCATGTCCATGTGCGGGGCATGGCACGAGCAGAGATGGTGGTGCAGAGCGGGCCTGTGTTCTGGCCACAGCGAGTGTACGGAGAGACAGCCGTCTACCCCTCCTCCAGCGTCGTCTGCCTTGTACGTGCTCCACTCTCATCATCACATACTGTCACTGCCATGCCATGCCATGCCATGCCACAGCCACTGTCAACATCCCGATTCCCATCTTACCATCATTGCTGTGATGGTATCACCATGCATCAATCCATCAGCCAGCCCACCTCTCTCACATGCACTGCCCAGCTCACCACATGCACATGTGTTGCCCCCCTACCACCATCAATCTCCTTTTCGTGTTGCACGCAACGCAAGCATGCGCATGTGCCTCTGTGAGTGCGGGTGCGCACACAGGCCTCTTAAACCCTGGCCCTTGCCCATGCAATGCACTTGCTTTGACCTCTGCTGCCCCCAACTTATACGATGCGTTTGGTCGTGGGACATCTTCCCGCACATACCAGGCGACTGTTTCTGAGGCACCTAAATACCATGCATGCGTGAATGAAGTTTCCCAATATCCTCTTGGCCCTACTCGTGCGTGCGTGCGTGCATGCATGTGTGCAAGCCTGCGTGCGCGCGCGTGTGCATGTGTGCATGCATGCGTGCGTGCATGCGTGCATGTGGTGCATGAGCAGGACATCTTCCCGCACATACCAGGAGATGACGACTACCGCATGTTCTCACATGACTTTGACGACGTGCCCAGTCTCGACAGCATATACCTGCTCGGCGGAACCTTCTACCACACCTCCCGCGACTCTCCCGAGAATGTCATGTGAGCCATCCATGCCGTTCAGATCAAATCATGTCATATGAGACATGCCATGTAACAACACTCAAAGAATACCATGCCGTGTCTGTTGCATCCTCCTCAGCTGCCTGGCACCCTTCACCCATTCCTCATCATCACTTCTCTCATCCAACTTCCCTCACCCCCCCTCCCCGTCCCCTCGTCCCCGCCCCCCTTCCTCCTCCACTGCATCAGGCCGGGAGCGCTGCAGCTGCGGGGGGAGAATCTGCTGCCACTGCTGGAGGGGCTATCAAGGGCGCCGGAGCTCAAGACACGGGCGCAGAGGCGCATGGATGCGTGGTCCGAACCCCACACTTCCGGCAGCGCTGTTGTTGGCGGCGGTGGTGCGGGCAACAGCACTGGCGCCAGCATGCCCAAGGATATCCCCGTCTTCTTTGACCTCTTCAACATGCGCATGGTGCGTGTCTCTGCTTCCCTGCGTCAGCCTAAGCTCAGCCTAGAGGAGATTAGGAAGAGATTAGGACGAGTTACCTGTTGGATCCAGGTCGAAACTGTTTTTCTGTGCATGGTGCGTGTCTCTGCTTCCCTGCGTCACGGCTTCCTGTGTCATTGTAACGAGGCGATTTTTAAGTCGACTCAAAAGTCACCTCAGCGCGGGCGCCAGGATGCCCAAAGGATATCCCTGTCTTCTTCGACCTCTTCAACATGCGCATGGCGCGTGCTCTCTCACCCCTGCTCCCTGCTCCCTGCTCCCTGCTCCCTGCTCCCTGCTCCCTGCTCCCTGCTCCCTGCTCCCTGCTCCCTGCTCCCTGCTCCCTGCTCCCTTTTCTCTCGCCACCCCGCACTTCCATCACCCTCAATGTTTCTTTCTCTCAACGCCTGCTGAGACACCTCAAGAAACTGGTCATGCCTGAATGGTTCAGGCACCTCTCTTTCATTCTCTCCTTACCCCCCCCCCCCGTCCGTCCCTCTCGCTCGTGCCCCACCAGGTGATGTACCCGCGGGCAGTGGCAGCAGCCCTGAACGTGATCTTCCTGGCAGCGCTCTACTTTGTGCCCTCCCACGCCTCTGAGGCGCAGTCCGGCCTCAAGGAGGCCTCGCACCGCTCCCAGCACATCCGATCAGGTTGCTTGCTGCTTTCCTCCGGGGATCTCCTTAAAGCCCAAAAAAAAAAAAAAAAAAAAAACGTTGCTTGCTGCTCTCCCCTCCTCTTGCTCCCCTCGCTGCTACTCTTCCCTCCATTCCACCCTGCCTTGTGCTGTGCCTTCCCTCACACCGTTTTCTACAGCTGCCACCACCGGTACAATCACCCCACTCGTCTTAGCCCTGTTTATCCTTTGTGCCCTAATCGCTTCTCCCCCTCCACCCCGTTTTCCTGCCCCACACACCACGTCACTACCACATCTCCTCATCCCTAACCCCACAAGCAACGTTTCTCCCTTCTTCTCCTCCCCCTCCCCTCTCCCTTTCCCCCCTTCTTCTCCTCCCCGCCCCTCTCCCTTCCCCCCTTCTTCTCCCCCCCTCCCCTCTCTCTTCCTCCCATTCGTCTCCCTGTCTCTACAGCCTTCCTGGCCTACACAGTCGGCTGGCTGCTGTCTCTCATCGTGCCCATGCTCGTGGCTGCTCTGCGAGTCGCTGTGTCCGGCCGCCCCATGTCCTGGTGAGCTCGCTCGCACCTGGCACTGGCGCCTCCACACCGCACATTACAAGTGTGCCTCCTGTGGGGGCTGGGAAGGGTTTAAGGTTTAGGGTTTACTACTTGCTGTGTATAACCTCGACTCCTTGCCACCTCCATACCTCTCCAACACTACACCACTCCACCTCTCCGCCGCTCCACCTCTCCACCTCTCCACCTTTCCACCTCTCCACACTCCACCTCTCCGCTACTCCACCCGCTGGACCTCTTTATGTCTCCATCTCCCCACCACCTACTTACTGATTGCCTTCCGAAGAGGGTGCCAGCAAGAGGAAACGCTTCCTGTCCAGCGTAGCTGTTTTGAGACGTCTCAAAACTAGAAGAAACGCTTCCTGTCCAGCATACCCGTTTCCCAAGCATGCATCTCTTTCCACGCTCATGCCAATCTCCGCATTCACGGACGCTCCGTCCCGTTCCTTCCACCCTCCCCTCCCCTCTCCCTTCCCTTCCCTCCCCTCTCAATGGCACTCCTACTCTCCCCTCCGTCCTCTCTCTGCGTGCATGTACCAGGTTCGCACAGCCCGTGTATGCGCAGCTGACGTTCATCCCGGGAGCCGTGCTCGGGCTGCTGCTGCCGCACTACATCCGCGCAGGGGGGTCTCTCAGCAACCCCGCATCTCTCACCCCCCACCAAGAGGTGTGCCCCCAACCACCTTGCTCCCTCCCTCCCTCCCTCCCTACCTACCTACCCGCCGCCCTCCCTCCCTCCCTACCTACCTACCCGCCCCCCTCCCTCCCTCCGTCCCTCCAACCCCTCGCTCCTGCTCCTTGCCTTCTCCAATCCTGTTGGTTCGAGTGGTCGAGACTCGAGAGTGCATGCAATAGAAGATGAAGGGTACACACAAAGGGCCTCCCTCTAGAGGCGAGAAGCCTTTCCTCTTCCTCATTCGATTCTTCTCTGGTAAACTACTCACCATTGCCCCCTCACGCCATCTGCATTCCAAACCTACCCCCCACACCCTAATCCTCCTGCCCACTTGCCCTCTTGCCCTCTTGCCTGCCTGCCTGCCTGCCTGCCTGCCTGCCTGCCTGCCTGCCCGCATGCCTGCATGCCTGCCTCCCTGCATCCTGGTCGCTCCCCGCACAGGTGGCGTTTGTGTGGTCGTCGCACTGGGGATGCCTGTCCTTCAACGTTGGCCTCTCTGCTGTGAGTTCCTTCGCTCTCCATACACCAGTGCATCCCTTTGGCTTTTGACACATGCATATGCACGTGCACACATCCACGCAAGCACACAATCACATGCCACACATGCATGGACTCAGATCCTTCATTCATGCCATCCTCCCACGTCCGCATCATCACATGGCACACATGGCACAACACAAATACACACCACACCACACACAGCCGACCACACACATCCCTTTACCGCATACAACCGCCCCTTGAGATTTTCTATTCGATCCACCTCACCACCACCACCTCACAGCCACCACCTCACAACCACTATCCCATACCCCTGCGCTTCTCCCTTCCTTCAATCAAATCTCTCCCTCCCCGCCGCACCCCCCCACCACGGCCACATGTCACAACAGCTGGTCATGCACGGGTTTGGCGGCAGTGGGGGGTTCATCAACTGGTGGTGGGCCTTCTTCATGCTCCCCGCTCTCTTCCTCTACACCTCTCTCCAAGCCACCCTTGGCAAATCAAAACCCCTGTATGATCCAACGCCTCCCCTCACACCACACTGGATTGAACGCCCCCCCCCCCCCCCCCCCCCAAATTCTTTTTTTCTTGGTACAAACAATGGTCTTACGGTCCTGCCCCTTGGGTTGATCAGATGTGGACATAAGGTTTTCCTTCTTAAGCTCCCTATCTTTCATTCTCCCAACGCTGCTTCTGCTGCTTCATAGTTGCTATTGCTGCCTCCCCACTTTGCCCGTCCTCACTTCCTTAACACCATTCCCATTCCCCCTCAACTCCCACCACTCTCCCCTCCTCCCTATCACACTCCTCTTTTTTTTCTACTCTCTCCCTTCGCGATCCCCTGCTCGCAGAGCCCTGTTGGGCTATCTGCTGCCGGGGGCCTTCCCAGCAGCATTCTCGACCACCTTCACAGTCTTCTTCCTGCAGTTCATGTCTGAGAAGATGGGCGCCACTGGCACTCCGCCTCTGCCTTTTGGTGCGTACCTTCTCACCACCTTCTCGCCACCTTCTCACCACCTTCTCACCACCTTCTCACCACCTTCTCGCCACCTTCTTGCCACCTTCTCGCCACCTTCTTTGCCTCTCACCCTCTTTCCATGCACTAGCTCGCTTCCCCTTTTGCTTGCCTTACCTCTCATGCATCCTCTCAAGCCTTCCCAACTCCCGCTTTCCCATCCTTCTCCACACCGCTTCATGAGCTGCCATCCGTCCTTGTAACCCACGCCCTCACATCATCCTCCTCCTACCCCATGTACTCACCTCTCCCTGCCACGCCCGCAACATCCCCTCCTCCTCCCCCCCCTCACCCCACGATCAGGACCCGTACTGGCAGCCGTGATACCAGCAGGGTGCATGGGCCTCTCTGTTTGCCTTTCAAGGTGCACCAATAGCCCTGCCCCTGCCTCAACATCCTCTCCCCCTCCCCTCTCCGCCCTCTCACCGCACCATCAGGTCCCTTCCTAGTGGACGTGGTGCTGGCAGCGTGCACGGGCTTCTGAGTGTGTCTCATCATGGCGCCCTACGCCGCGCTGCTCTCGCGCTACCTCGCGCCTTTTGAGACGTCTCAAAATCCTCCTTCCCTCCCTCCCCTGTCTGTCACGGTGTCACCCCACCCCACCATCAGGTCCCTTCCTGGCAGACGTGGTGTTAGCAGCGTGCACGGGCTTCTGTGTGTGCCTCACCATGGCGCCCCAAAAGCCCTGCCACGGCCTCAACATCCTCTCAACCTCCCGTCTCCCCTCTTCTCACCGCACCATCAGGTCCCTTCCTGGCAGACGTGGTGCTAGCAGCATGCACGGGCTTCTGTGTGTGTCTCATCATGGCGCCCTACGCCGCACTGCTCTCGCGCTACCTCGCCCGCCCCGCTGTCCTGCACGGCCTCCTCCTCTCCTCCCTGCTCGCTGCTGCCCTCACCTCCCAGCTCTTCCCCTATGACACGCACCACCCCAAACGAGTGCTCATGCAACGAGTCTACAGGATGCAGGGTGAGAAATGCGTCTTTGTATGCGCCGCCACGAACCGTATCCTGTCGTTTCAACTGGGAAATGTTCGGATTCAAACGGCGGATCTTGAGACTTGGATGTAATTCTCTCTTTTTTCTGTGTGCGTGTGCGTGTGTGTCTTTACTGATTGATTTCTGGTAGCATGGCCACACCACTTACACGTGTCTCATGATTTGATGCTTCTATCCGCTCCTCGACGTGCAAATACTGTGCCCAACAGGGGTTCTAGAAAACAAATACATTTGTGCCCTGTCTCCCATCACCCTCTCACCCTTCTCTCACGCTCAACCCCTCCCGCTTCTCCCACCCCTCTCACTCTCTCCCCTCGCACCCATCTCTCCCCTCTCACCCCTCCTTCGCATGCACCAGGCGGCAAGGCAGTGAGTGCAGAGACCACAATAGCCAGTGGCGACTCCAATGATGCCGTCCCACCCCTCTCACACCCGCACCCCTCTCATCCCTCCCACCCGTCTCACCCCTCCCACCCCTCCGACCCCTCTCTTCATTGGCATCTACCAGGCGGCAATGCAGTGAGTGCAGAGACCACAGTGGCCACTGGCAACTCCAACGATGCCGTCCCACCCCAGTCTCCTGTCTCACCATCCGCACCCCTCTCATCCCTCCCACCTCCCCCTCCCCTCTCCTGTCACATCACATCTACCAGGCGGCAAGGCAGTGAGTGCGGAGACCACAGTAGCCACTGGCGATTCCAACGATGCCACCTTCCTCCTGCACCACGTGCCCCGCCTCGCCCGCTCCCTTGGGATCCCCCCTGCCTCGCACCATCACACCAACCGTACTGCACTTGTCATCGCAAGGCCGTCCAACCTGCTGGTAACACGCATGCAATGTGTCCCTCTCTGTTCAGTGTGTATGTCGCCTGACGCTGGAACCCCTGCTGGTGACTCTGCTGGTTTCTTAGGAGGTGGTGCTTGTAACTCTCTCATTTCGCATCTTGCGCATGTTACAACTCTCTTGTGCTGCGATAAAAGATCATCGGCTTCTCTCTCTTCTCTCCCATTCCGCAAACCTCCACCCCGTTATTCCCTTGCAACCTCTCATCTCCATGATCCCTTCATCTTCATGGTTCCTTCATCTTCATGGTTCCTTCATCTTCATGGTTCCTTCATCTTCATTCTCCCTCCCTTTCTCTCCTGTCCCCTCGCATACCAGCAATATGTTAACTCAAACAAAATCTTAGAGCTCCGTTTCCCCTCCCCCACTGTCCACCCACATTCCCCCCCCAGGCCCTGTACCCAGTCTCCAGCCTTCTAGACCGCCCGTTGACCTTCCCCGCGCCTCTCTCCCCTCGCTTCGAAGACCCGGACTTCCAGCTGCCCTCTCTCCGCCTGCTGCGCCAGCACACCTCCCTCTCTTCACCGCAACTGGGTGTGGATGGCGAGTGGCGAGGCGGAAGGAGCTTAGAGGAAATGGATGAGAGGGAGATTGAGAACTATGGGTTGGAGCTCGATGGGGAGGGGGAGGGGGGAGGAGCAGGAGCAGTGGCACAGAGGAAGGGGGGGAAGAGGCGGAGAATTCACCTGGAGCTCGCAGCAGGGTGAGTGGATCAGCCTGGTGGTTCATTTCAGTGTGTGCTTCGTGAAGTGCTGGGCTGTTGGAGGCATGGAGTGAGAGGAGAGCGGAGGGACGGGAAGGAGGGAAAAATGGTGGGGGTGAAGCAGCAGCGCGTTATAGCCATGAAAGCTGGGCGAGAGTTGGGCTGAGATAGCCATGAAACGGCACGAAATTTTTCAAGTTTTCCTTCCAGACACCATCGGTGTTCCAACCCATTTGAAGCCAGCTCGGTTTCATTTCATCCCCATCGTGCAGACGCTACCCCAACCCATCTGAACCGCACTCCATGGCTCTCTCTGCTCCACCTGTTCCTCTTGCATGTGCAGGTCGCTGTCGCACGTGTGGTCTGCTGTGTTGAACATCACCGGCCCTGTCACTGCCTGGTCCCTCACTCCTACCCTACCAGGTACGCTCACTCTCATAGCTCACTCAACCTCACCCACCTTCCCGTGCTTCTCACCCACCATCCCGTGCTGCTCACCCACCATCCCGTGCTTCTCACCCATCTTGCGGTAATCCCCACCGTGCTGTGATCTCCCTCCCTAGCTACCTGCTGCCCGTGTCGGTGCCACACACACTTGTCCATCTTTCTCTCTTTCTCCCCCTTGTTGTATGTGCCTTTTCGAGCATCCCCATCGGCCACTGTGAGCATCATCGTGCAAGCAATCCCCGCCCTGTTATCCCCTCATTCCCTCTACCACTCGACGTCTCCCATACACTCCCCCACCCTCACGACACTCGTTTCCTTCTTTAAACTACTGCGTACACCCCCATACACTACCGCAGACTTCCGGCTCCGTAGCAAGCTTTGTGCTACCTTAAAACATCTATCTACATCTGAGATCCCTTGCTTATTTCCCTTCATCACCTGTGACCCCTATCACTGCAGCGCGGGAGAGGGTTGGAGGAGGGCCACCGTCCCTCATGGTGCATTACTCGGGCGCATTCCCCTGGCAGCTCTGGCTTGAGGTGAGCTACCTGCTACTTTGAGTCGACTCAAAAGGGCCAATTCTTAGTCCCTCATGGTGTATCACTAGGGTGCATTCCCATGGCAGCTCTGCTTGAAGTGGGCAAGTTGCTGCATGCTGCTGCTGCTTTCACCCTCACTTTCCCCCCTGCAAGTCTGAACTTCCTCTCTAGGCAAACACAAAATGCCTTCACCACCCACCCCTCCCTTCTCACTAGCCATTGCATGTTACAAACTTGCAGAGGTGCACTAGGTGGTATCCTTATCAGGCATCCGGCTGCACAGCTTCTGCTCGTTATCAGAATCTTTCCCTCACTACCGTATTCCAACTCTCCACATTCAATCATATCCACCCTCCCCTGCCATCATGGCGTCGCAGGTGAAAGGGCGGCGCAGTATACATGTTGATCTAGCTGTGCTGGATCATGAAATGGATGCTGACGTGGCACAGATGAAGAGCCTCTTGCCAGACTGGACTGCTCCAATAGTGTCCTCTTCTTATGTTGCCCATTACACATTCTAGATACTGGTGCACTGCAAGTACCGTAGTACCAGCTTACGTTAAGGTTGCCGTGTTATAGTGTGTACAGAACACGCATCCCTGCAGAGTCACTCCTTATGCTGATGTATTGCATGTTAAGGCCCGAGTACAGCATGGTATTTTTCAAGTTCAAGATTCTTGAACTTGAAGTCGTAAAAAACAGGGTTACCCTCTTTTGTTTGAAAGAACTCTCGCGACCCAGGGAAAACTTAGTGCGACGGTCACTTCTGATTGGTTTCTGTGCCCAGTCGCACAACACATCCGAACATCGCCTACCATGTTGCTGTGGTCACCTCTCACATAACTTGACGACCAAGTGGTACTCCTAATCCACTAGAGTAGGCACGTAACTAAGAAATGCGCGACAGGGCGATAAAAGCTAGTTTAGGTAGAAGCGTTTTTTTCCTTCCAGCTCTCGTCACTCCCGCTGTCTTGCCAATAGCTGAGGAGCACCCGCTTCTTGCCAAACACGCTATTACCGTACCATTTTTGCATGCCAGCGACGGGACACCCGTTCTAGTGCACCACAGTCATGGGTCGGCTAAGGCTGCTGGTTACCTCCAATACAACGCCCGTAATGCATTGGCCAGCATAGCATGGCCCGCCCAACAAAAACTTGGCTTCAGTCCGCCTTCAGGCGTCATCCTCGCCTCGTCCAGACTCCCACACTTAGTATGTGGCGAGTGCATCACCTCATCGCCCGTGCTTCCCTAGCGATTCCCTCAACCCCACGTTACGAGAGCTTCTGCACTCGCGCATGCCCTCGTCGCCCGCGCGTCCCTCGTCGCGCAATGTTTCCCTCGTCGCAAGCGTTTCCCTCGTCACGCCAGCTTGTCCTTGTCTCCCACGCTCACCCGCGCTTCCCACGCTTACCCACGTTTCCCGCGCTCTCCAGCGACACCCGCGCTTACCTTCGTCACCCGCGCTTACCCGTGTCATCCCCACTTACCCGCGCTTATCTGCGTTTCCCGCGCTTACCCGAGGTCACCCGCGCTTACCCGCATCATCACTGCCCGCGTCTCGCACTCTTTCCCGCGTGTGAAACGCTTACTCGAGTCTCCCGCACTTACCCTCGTCTCTTGCGTTGCTCCTCAACGCCCTCGCCTCAGTTTCCCCCATCCACACGCATCTCCCCTTATCGCCCATGTCTACCCAAGTCGCCACTCCCCGTCGTTAGCGAAGGCCCCCACACACCACGCGCATTCTCCCCACTTGTCCGCCTCCTTTCCCCCCCACACACTACGCGCATTTTCCCCCACTTGTTCGCCTCCTTTCCCCCCCTCACACCACGCGCATTCCCCCCACTTGTCCGCCTCCTTTTCCCCCCCTCACACCACGCGCATTCCCCCCACTTGTCCGCCTCCTTCCCCCCCGCACACCACCAGCATCCCCCCCACTTGTCAGAGGGCGAGAGACAAAGTGGGAGGGACAGAGGGGAAGGGAAAGAGGGGGAGTGAAGGAGGGGTAGGGACGAAAGTGCAGGGACGAGAGGGGAGGGATAGTGGGGGAGGGACAGAGGGGCAGGGACAGAGGGGGAGGGACAGAGGGGAGGGAACGAGGGGGAGGGATAGAGGGGGAGGGACAGAGGGGAGGAAAGAAGGGGAAGGACAGAAGGGGAAGTACAAGGGGGAGAGGGGGGAGGACAGATGGGGAGAGACAGAGGGGGGAGGTACAGGGGGGGGGACAGGGGGGGAGAGACAGAGGGGGAAGGGCAAAGGGGGAGAGACAGAGGGGGAAGGACACAGGTGGAGTGACAGATGGTGAAGGGCAGAGGGGGGGAGACAAAAGGGGAAGGACGGAGGGGGAGGATAAGAGGGGGAGGGGCATAGAGGGGGAAGGACAGAGGGTGAGAGCGGGTACTTCCCCCACTCCCTCTCCTCGTCGACCTCACTTCCCCAGGCTTGTTTACACCCCTCTTTATTTTGACCAACCTCCCTTTCTCCCAACAGCTCTGTTTACCCCACAGTCTATTCTCCTTTGCCTCACCTGCCACTCCCCCCTTCCTCCTCCCTGCTTCCCCCCTCCCTCCTTCCTGCTTCCCCCCTCCCTCCTTCCTGCTTCCCCCCTCCCTCCTCCATGCTTCCCCCCTCCCTCCTTCCTGCTTCCCCTCGTCCCCTCCCCTTCTTTCCCCCATCCCCTTCCCTGCTTCCCTCCATCCCCTTCCCTGCTTCCCCCCATCCCCTTCCCTGCTTCCCCCCATCCCCTTCCCCGCTTCCCCCCATCCCCTTCCCTGCTTCCCCCCATCCCCTTCCCTGCTTCCCCCCTCATCCTCTCCCTCCCCATGTACAATCGCAAAGAAAAGGGGGGACGCACGCGCAACAGGGGGGCAGCGCAGCAGACTTGTGTGCAATCTCACTGACTTGTGTGCAATCTCACTGACTTGTGTGCAATCTCAGTGACCAGCGGCATGCTGCAACATACCCCCCACTCCTTTCATACTCCCCACTCCTCTCATACCCCCCACTCCTTTCATACTCCCCACTCCTCTCATACCCCCCACTCCTTTCATACTCCCCACTCCTCTCATACCCCCCACTCCTTTCATACTCCCCACTCCTCTCATACCCCCCACTCATTCCATACAGTGGACTCCCCCCACTCCTCTCATACTCCCCATTCCTCTCATACCCCGCACTCCCCTCGTACGCCCAACTCCTCTCATACCCCACAGTCCCCTCATACCCCCTGCTCCTCTCATATCCCTACACCCTCGTTCCAAACTTCCCACTCCCTTCATATCACCCACTCCTGAAATACCCACCGCTAATGTGAATTCAAATTGTCACTGTTTCGTCTGGTCCCGCTTTCCACCTATGCACTGCTTCCCACGCTTGCACCCCTGCTTTCCGCCCTTGCACCCCTGCTTCCCACCCTTGCACCCCAGCTTCCCACCCTTGCACCCCTGCTTCTCCCCCTTGCACCCCTGCTTTCCACCCTTGCACCCCTGCTTTCCACCCTTGCACCCCTGCTGTCAGCCCTTGCACCCCTGCTGTCAGCCCTTGCACCGCTGCTGTCAGCCCTTGCACTCCTGCTTTTCTGCTTCAAGAGCAGCAGCAAGTCCCTCCAGAGATCCTATAGCTGCCACTGGTTCGTCTGCTCCTACTCTGAGCTACTACCGGTAAAATTTTGAGCCCTCAAGTCGTGCGCCTTCTATCCCACCCATGCATCTGCCATGTGTTGGCAGGCTAACTGATGTGTCGATTCCAGTACTGTGGCTCACTTCACTGCGCATTGTGAACGAGGTCCTTGTGAAATGCAAGTATAAGCCATCCTAAAGTAGTGTACACTGGATGCCAAGTGGTTACCTCGGCAATAATTTGCAATAAAGTGCCAACAGAGCTGGGCACTGACACCTTTGGAGTAAGATAACTGTTACACATCATCATGGATGTATCCTTTTTGGGATACCAAACAAGCTAGTGCCCTAGGCAGAATGGAACATGAGCTGGATTAGGGTCTCAAGAATCGAAGCAATGGAGTAGTTTCACCGGGCTAACTTCATCCGCACGTGTAACGTATATTGCAACTATAATATGTGCAAGTTTATTTCGCAAAGAAGCATGATTAGGTTTAGGACAGAACTGCATAGTCCTCCACACACATTCAAACATGACATGTTCAAGACCAAATTAGCACAGTGGGGATGGAAACACAACCCCATTTATTCATCCTGACCTGCCACCCACACCTCCACTTTCTCCCCGTCATAGTGGCCTGCTAGCCACCACTCATCACTATCGTCGCTCCACTCCTCCGCATCTTTTATCACTGCGTCTGCCACATCATCCACTTGATCCGATGGCAATTCCGCCTTATCCCTCTCACAGTGGTAACCTGCAGCTATAGCCAATGAGAAGGAGGATAAGCCAGAATTTAGAGTGGTGTCCCTGTAGCTATGAATAATCTCAACCGCAGAGCATGGCAGGGCATGCCTCGAGGGGGGGAGGGAGAAGGGCGGAGCGGAGCATGACAGGGGAGGGCAGGGCAAGGCATGGCATGGCATGGGAGAGGCATGGCATGACGCGGATGGTGCAGACAAGGGCAGGGCGGGCCATGAGAAAGCAGGGCAGGCATGGCCCCTCTAGTCATGGCATCGCAGAAAAATGAGGGTGCTGACAAGGGCGGGGCGGGGCGGGACAGGGCATTGCAGGGCAGGACATGGCAGGGCAGGGCAGGGCAGGTCAGGGCATGACAGGGCAGGGCAGGGCAGGGCAGGGCAGGGCAGGGCAGGGCAGGGCAGGGTAGGGCATGACAGGGCATGGCAGGGCAGGGCATCTCCTGGAATAGCATGGCATGTTTAGTTGGAGCAGGGAAAGGAGGTGCGGGGCAGGACAGGGAAGATGGGGAGTGGCATGCCGAGGTGGAGTAGACAAGATCGAGGCGAGACCAAACAGGGCATGGTAGGGAATGGGAGATCTGAGCAGGCCAAGTTATAGCATGGTGGGCGATGGGTGTTTGTCAAATACCTTTGGGGGGGTCGATTGTCGTGGTGGGCGTCGTGGTGGTTCTGCGTGATGCCGAGCAAGCCTCGCGCGGGTTTGAAAGCTCGCCTGATATTCGCCTTGGGCACTTAGCGTGGGAGGTTCGACACATCACCTATAAGCAACATACAGATGGGTTGGAAGACGCGGATGGTGAACACATTACGCTTGCTAGAATGTTTACGTCGAGTATGAGCCATACTGAGCAATAACAACTCACGTTGCGCTGCCGTTGCTTACCCAAACGACGGCGAGCAGATCCACGAGACGTGCCGCACACCGGACCGAACCCGCCTTGGCGCACTGGTGTCACTGGCTCAAGAACAGATGCTATGGGCTGTGCGATCGATGCATCGACCAGCTGCGCAGTCGTTGCTGTTGATTCAGGCATCTCGTCAACATCCACAGTATCTCCATGCCGCAGTGTTCGTTGCCATTCCTCCATGATGCGATCAACCCAAGCCCAATCCATTTTAGTCAAGATGCGCTCCTTGGATCCGCGCCTGATCCTCGTCACCTGTCGGACTCTAGTGCGATAGGCGGTCACCAGGCGATCCATGCCGTGATTCCAATGAAGAACCGCGAGACCGACTCGTGCCGGGAAGCTGCCCTGAAACCGTATCCGCTTAGGTGCGTATTTGATGATCAAAGAATGGAAAGACTCGTTCAGAGAACTCGACGCGCCATGCACAAAGGACTTAACCTTCTCAGAGCTTAAGTGCTTGGAGAACCATGCACAAACCGCCTTGTGTGTCGACGACCCAAACTCATATATGGCATGGTCCTTGCCCCACCCCTCTCTGACGCAGCGAGGTGGGGTCTCTCCTACCCCAGTGCAGCCGGAGTGGTCACCGGCCCAGTGGTTGGGTGGGCTCCCAAGCTCCCTCGCCACGTCGGCCGGGGTCATAGGATGCCCCTCTTTCTTCTTCGCACCACATCGCACCATCACGTGATAGAAATGAGAGGATAAGCGTTGTGCCACAGTTTGTTCCTCCTTGCCAGAATCGATATGATCTTCACCTCGTTTCCGCTTTCGGCGACCAGTCCACCGAGGTAGTGTCTCGGGCTCGCTGAACGCATTAGGGTTCTGCACTTCGGTATCAGCCCCGACTCCATCTAGCGCATCTGTGAATGTTAGAAAATGAAATACGAAAACTGAGTATAGAGTAGCACTTGGATCAAGCATGCCCAAAACTTGGTAAGGGGTGTATGCATACCAGTCTCCGTGTCGGTGTTGGCCCAAGAAGTGGATCCACCGATGAAATGGGAGTTTCCGTTTGCACCAGCGTGCACAAGCATGATGAGGGTGCTCGCCAAAGATGTCGGTCGCGCACCCTGCGTCGGGTGCACATCATAACTCCATAGCTCTTCCACGTCTTCCCATTGAACGTCAACGTTCCACTCCTCCGGTGTCGGCCTATCCACGGTAGCCCGCTCAGCTCCCTCATCCCGCTCCCGCACATCGGCATCAGAAGCACCAGGCACCTCGCCGTAGGTCACAGGCACCTCCACCGGGCTACACTCCCCCCCCATCCGCACCACCTTTCTTAGCTCGGGAAACTTCCATTTCGCCTCTTCCAGGGTCATCTTCCGGTAAACAATCGTGCCCATGGCTTTACAAATGGCTTCCACCAAGTCCCCTTTCAGTGAAGCTTTCGACTCTTTCTCCAACCCCTGTGCTGTCAGCCATTGCCGTAGCCCAGCGATAGTCGCAAGCCATAGATCCTCAATACAGGTCGCCTTGTCCACAGCCACTGGTGCACGGACCGCATCCTGAAGTTCTTTCAGAAATAACTTGTAAAGCGTCCGCTTTACATGCCACCAGTCCACCTGGTGGTTCAACCCCCTTTCGGACGCTGCCCCACGAAAAGTAGTCCCTTGGTCGGAGATGATCCCTTCTACCGTAAACCCTTTCTGCGCCAGTTCATCTAACCCTTTATCGAAAGCCACCCTTTCCAGTCGCACCGAAGAATTGTCGTCCACCCCTTTTCGTGTCGTCGCACAGTACACTATCTTTCTGGACGGCAAATCTAAAAACGATACTGTACACCACTCTCCCTCACGGACATGTGACCATCGACCATCGACCACTACATATTCCGTAGGGATTTCTCGCTTCATCATCTCTTCTCGTACCGCAGCCATAGACTTATCAGCCTCTCTCAATATAGCATTCCATAACCCATTATCATCACCAAGGTACTTGTAAAATGTGCCCTTCCCTGGTGCTGGCAAGCCGACGTTGCGACAAAACTCCCACATTTGCTGATACCCCATTCCGGCTAAAGCAAATGCCCCGACAAATTTCGACTGTAGAATCGGAGAATGCGCGCCTACACCGGTTCGTGCTCTCTCGATACGCCGGCTCGGACATGACCAAAACTCTACACCATGCGAACACGCGTCGCATCTCCAAAACATGCCGACCCATGCCCATGAGAACTTCCATGACCTCAATGTCATCCCCTCACTACACGCTTGCTCATGTGAACACACCAATCGACACCCTTGGAAGAACCCAACCAACTGTCGAGGCTCGACAAGACATACCCGTTGTCCGTCGATGTCATCCACACTCGGAGCAGAAGGCCAGTGCCTAGGGACACTCCCACGCGCAACTGCTCGTCGGTGGCTGTTGGCAGGCCTAGTGGACATAAAGAGGAGGGGAGTTTGGACATGGATACAACGACGTGTTTGATAGTGCACAATGACATTTTGCCATATGTAGCCACCACACCCACTACTCTCACCCTTGCACTGGCCGTTCTGGAGTCGTCGTCACACTTCGTGCAGGCGCGGCCACCGCAGTATCTCTGGGCACTCCGGAAACGCCCTCATCAGCATCCATGCCCACAGTGCCTACGGCTGGCGCATCTGGCAGCTCGGTCCCCATGACGTTGCCACTCCCTCCATGGTTGGCCCCTGAAACGTATTGGGAGTGTGGACGGGACGTCGTTTATTACTCACGTCCAAAACAAGCCAACTTCAGATGCATCTTCCAAATCTTACCTGAATTACACGTCGCTGCAAATGCCGCGCCACGCCTGGCGCCTCCCCATGATCGACCGGAAACCTGTCGCAGTCTTCCGCGCGCATCATACTGCACCAGTGGGAAGGAGTATCTAAGCCCGGCCAGCACTCGATTGGGCCGTTGATGCAGGGCTACTACATCCTCCATAGTTCCTTTCGCGCGTTCTTTAAAGATGCGGCCGTACTCTTTTCGATGTCTTTCCACAATTACGCCGGTATGAGTGTCGTTTGAAGCAGGATCTGTTAGGCAGAGAATGTGCAGGCAGAGAATGTTCAGGCATGTGATACATTTCACGGGTGTAGGACATTCGATAGAAAGACAACCAGCACTTCAGATCATGCACACATCACATGCTCGCCCAAACCTTGTGTCATACCTGCTGCTAGGCCCGCCTCAATAAGTCGGTTGGTCGCTTGGGGTGCTGACTCAACCAAAAAGTGAATCACATCATCTGTCGTCGCCATCGTGTCCCCAAGGTACAATGCCGAGAGCCCGACGCGGAGAGCACACAAAAGTGGCCGCATGTGGACCGAAATATTGACCGTTCCTCTCTGGGCATCCTTACATGCTTGTATTGCAGGATGCCCTCCCGCACCTACACCAACCCCTGCCATCTGAAACCATGTCAGCGCATACCCCGAGGAGAGGAAGGAGATGGATGGTTAGGGCGTTGGCACAGCAGGGACAAGGATTAGGGCATCTATAGATGTCTGCAGAAATGTGCAAATGCACGTCATGCAGCACCGAGCGGTGAGTGCACGCAATAGAGAAAGGGCCCAAAGCACCAGCAACTCTGGTTGCTGCTGCCTGGGGACTGAACGGGTGGGTGCATGGTGCTGAAACCAGGCCCAAGGCAGCTGCATCCAGAGATGCTGCTGCCTTGGGACAGAACAGGTGGGTTTACAGTGGTGAAAGCAAGCCCAAGGCAGCAGCATCCAAAGTTGCTGCTGCCTTGGGACTGAACAGGTGGGTTTACAGTGGTGAAAGCAAGCCCAAGGCAGCAGCAACTCTGGTTGTTGCTGCCTGGGGACTGAACAGGTGGAGGCATGGTGCTGAAACCAGGCCCAAGGCAGCAGCATCCAGAGATGCTGCTGCCTTGGGACTGAACAGGTGGGTTTACAATGGTGAAAGCAAGCCCAAGGCAGCAGCATCCAAAGCTGCTGCTGCCTTGGGACAGAACAGGTGGGTTTACAGTGGTGAAAGCAAGCCCAAGGCAGCAGCAACTCTGGTTGTTGCTGCCTGGGGACTGAACAGGTGGAGGCATGGTGCTGAAACCAGGCCCAAGGCAGCAGCATCCACGGTTGCTGCTGCCTTGGGACTGAACAGGTGGGTTTACATTGGTGAAAGCAAGCCCAAGGCAGTAGCAACTCTGGTTGTTGCTGCCTGGGGACTGAACAGGTGGAGGCATGGTGCTGAAACCAGGCCCAAGGCAGCAGCATCCAAAGTTGCTGCTGCCTTGGGACTGAACAGATGGGTTTAAAATGGTGAAAGCAAGCCCAAGGCAGCAGCATCCAAAGTTGCTGCTGCCTTGGGACTGAACAGGTGGGTTTACAGTGGTTCCGCGCAAGCCCAAGGCAGTAGCAACTCTGGTTGTTGCTGGCTGGGGACTGAACAGGTGGAGGCATGGTGCTGAAACCAGGCCCAAGGCAGCAGCATCCACGGTTGCTGCTGCCTTGGGACAGAACAGGTGGGTTTACATTGGTGAAAGCAAGCCCAAGGCAGTAGCAACTCTGGTTGTTGCTGCCTGGGGACTGAACAGGTGGAGGCATGGTGCTGAAACCAGGCCCAAGGCAGCAGCATCCAAAGTTGCTGCTGCCTTGGGACTGAACAGATGGGTTTAAAATGGTGAAAGCAAGCCCAAGGCAGCAGCATCCAAAGTTGCTGCTGCCTTGGGACTGAACAGGTGGGTTTACAGTGGTTCCGCGCAAGCCCAAGGCAGTAGCAACTCTGGTTGTTGCTGCCTGGGGACTGAACAGGTGGAGGCATGGTGCTGAAACCAGGCCCAAGGCAGCAGCATCCACGGTTGCTGCTGCCTTGGGACTGAACAGGTGGGTTTAAAATGGTGAAAGCAAGCCCAAGGCAGTAGCAACTCTGGTTGTTGCTGCCTGGGGACTGAACAGGTGGAGGCATGGTGCTGAAACCAGGCCCAAGGCAGGAGCATCCAGAGGTGCTGCTGCCTTGGGACAGAACAGGTGGGTTTACAGTGGTGAAAGCAAGCCCAAGGCAGTAGCAACTCTGGTTGTTGCTGCCTGGGGACTGAACAGGTGGAGACATGGTGCTGAAACCAGGCCCAAGGCAGCAGCATCCAGAGGTGCTGCTGCCTTGGGACAGAACAGGTGGGTTTACAGTGGTGAAAGCAAGCCCAAGGCAGTAGCAACTCTGGTTGTTGCTGCCTGGGGACTGAACAGGTCGAGGCATGGTGCTGAAACCAGGCCCAAAGCAGCAGCATCCACGGTTGCTGCTGCCTTGGGACAGAACAGGTGGGTTTACAACGCTGAAACCAGGCCCAAGGCAACAGCATCCAGAGATGCTGCTGCCTTGGGACAGAACAGGTGGGTTTACAGTGGTGAAAGCAAGCCCAAGGCAGCAGCAACTCTGGTTGCAGCTGTGTGCCTTTGCCTCGTGACACGTGAGCGCGATAGGACCCTCAAGGCAGCAGCGACCATTGTCGTTGTACTATAGTAGCAGTAGCAGAGAAATAGGCACTCACCTGGGCTATCCTCTGTAGCGATCCGCAGGGGCGTGTGCTGCACCTTGCTCCCCGTCACTCCGCAGTATCCGCTTTAGTTGTGCGCGCGGTGGTTGTAGCCAGGTCACCTGGAGGGCGCGCTTCTCGTCGCCGGGAACGCGGGCTCCGCGTCGTCTGGAACGCGGGCTCCGCGTCGACTGGAGGGCAGGATCAGATCCGCCTGAAATGCGAGATCCGCGTCGCGAGGAATGCGGGCTCCGCGTCGCGAGGAATGCGGGCTCCGCGTCGCACAGAACGCGAGCAGCTAAATGTGGCGAGCGAGTGTTGCTCGGCGCTTGGTGCGCGAGCCGAATCTAGTCCGCTTTCTTCCCCCTGGCTAGTCACAACGACTCCAATACACTCGTCGTTTCTTGTTGTGCCTAGCTACCCGTAGTCTCCAGTCTGTCATCACGACCTTCTTCCCGTTAGTGCAATCGCGCTTGCACGTTCCTACACTTTGCTGTTGCCAGCTCCTGCGATGGTCGTTACCCAAGTAATCTGGGGTAAGGATCGTCTCGAACACGTTTCTGTTGTGGCGTTGAGTAGGTGGCGTTGATAACCTGCACGTGCTTTCCTTGCTCAGTTTTTCTATTTCCCGTTAGCATCGAGCTGATTCAGTGGTGAGGTGACTTCGGGTGAGCAACACTTTCCATGCTCGATGCAAGAGAGGATGTGTGAGAGAGGATGTGTGCGACACATTTGTCGCTTTGGGTTGGTGGGATTCGCAGGATTGGTGAGTGCGAAATGTTCACTTGTTTGCGGCGGAAAATTGTTCTCGCCAAGGGTAGCCAACCGAAATAGGCTTCGCAGATCTCGCATACAGCCTATTTCAAATACACATAACTTGATAAT